TGAACACACCCGCACGCATGTCCCCCCCCCCATAGAGCTCCGAGGGGAGGTCACCTGGCCGACCGGTTTTTATCCGAGAAGCCCTTATCGGGATTAAACTTTCACGGTTTCCGGCGACTAGGGAATTGGACGACCTCCCCCGACGCTACTTTGCACCGCGGCGCTGCGACCGGCCTTAAGATTGCAAGGTCGCAGCGAGGGGCCACTCGGCCACCGCGGGTGAAACGCATCCCACACACCCCACACACGCCAGTATCGACGGGGCAGGCAGAGGGAATAAGCATTGTGATGGAGGAGCATCATTAGAAAACACGCAGCGCATCTGAACTGCATAATCAGGCACCCCCGCACAGGCAGCGGAGGGACGGCATAATTACGCTCGGGCACGCAGGCACCATTGTTAGGGGAGTTAAAGGATAAGGCTATTAGTATAAATAACCTGGAGAGCGGGGTCACGCGGGCAGCCGTGCACAAATTCCCACGGCGCACCTTTGTAATGGACGCCGCCGCATAATCTTCAATAACAAAGGCATACGTGAGAAAGGAATTAACTTGCGGAACGTCCGATTAGCATATCGAAGGCCCACGGTACGTGGGAAGGGGGTAGGGGCCTGAGTCCGGGAATTAGGATAAAAGGGAGCGTAGCGAGGTAGAGCTCTCTCTTACTCCGAGAAGCCAGCGTCCAAGACGGCCCCCAGCTCTGCCCTCCAGCGAGGAAAATCCACGGAACGTCGAGTGCCTCAAACCGTGAGTAAGGAGGTAAAAGTATTTCGTGAACGATAAATAGGGAATAGGTCCCGGGATAGTAGAGTAGGCAGCCTCGTCGATTCATACTGACTCAACAACCAGTCCCGGGTAGCAGACAATAAATCATTAACAGCTGGTCGTGGCCTCGTGTGATCTCGTATTATAAGTGTGAACGCGTGTGGTACTGTGTATGCGTAAGCTCGCGGCGTGCGTAATCGGCGTACCCCAGGTGCGCGATCATAACGTGAGCGGCCAGCAGGCGGCGAGCGCTGCGCAGAGCGGCGCAAGAGTGGGTATCGCGTGTGGAGCTGTATGCGTGTGTGCGCGCACGTTCACTACGTGTATAATACAGGTGCGCGATCCTAACGTGAGTGGTCTGTGTTGAGTGAGTGCCGCGCAGAGCTGTGTGTGGGTGTGCGCGTACGTAATTAACCATGCCTATTACGCAGACCCGCGGGGGAGGGGAATCCTCGAGCGACGGCTCTCACCCCATGGGTGAAGAACCCAACAGCGGTTCGCCTAGTAGCGAGGGGGCGAGTAATGAGGTTAACCCGGCCGTTAGCGGTACAGAGGGAGGGATCTCGGGGGCCAGCGACCCCTACAGCTATACCTAATAAATGAACTTGAACTTGAAACGTTTAGCGCAGCGTGCTATAACCTCTGCACAGCACACAGTCTGAGCTAAACAGAGCTGATACCATTCATCAACTAGTTCACTCAATTATAAGTCCTCCTTTCCCACATCTCATCTCTCTAGCCTGTGTCAGGCTCGCTCTCTCTAGCCAGCCAAACAGAAGCTGCTTGGGCATCCGGTGGCTGGGCATGTGGGCTACATGACCCAGCCAACTCAGCATCGCCTGCTGGCAGCTCACTACGTCCACAACTATCAAGTCTCCGAGCTGCTACCGTAATCTAATCTAGTTAAATTAAATCTCGAACGTTTCAAGCTGGCACACATGTTCAGTGCTGCCAAACAATATTTGAAGCTTTGGGTGGTGGCTGGTTTATACACTGCCCTGTGACTGGGACTACTCCACCCTGTAGACCAATACACGGTAACTCAATAAGTTATCGGGGTTTGATGACACCTGACACATCTTCTATACATATAAAAGGTAAATTTGTGAATGTGTCTGTTCAAAATGTTTAGCGTACCTCCCGACATGCAACACACTGGAAATTTGCCTGTACACCATGCAAACATTTAAAAATAGACTTTTGTATTTGGGGGGGGGGGGGGGCGCGCAAAAAAAGATATATATTGGACGTAAGTGAGCGGTGACGTCACATGTTGTCACCCGCATGCAGTAGCGTGACGCAGTGTGCCTACTGACGCCACGCATCCCCCCCCAACCCTCCGCGGAGGCCGTGTATCCCGCACAAATGCGCGGCTGGGGGAGGGGAAATAGGTAACAAACCTTTAACTTACCACGTGGCTAGCTCCCATACTGTACACAATGTAAAACGTATCAAAAAAATACTTTTGTATTTTTGGGGGGGGAAATGATAAGCAGGTGTTTTTCTTTGGAGGAGCTGATGGAAAGGTATCACCACCTCTTTATAGCAAACTCCTGGTGCAGAAGTCTCCAACCACTTAGCGAATGAGTAGAAATGTCCAGGTCATCAGCAAATATAACATGGCTGACCGGTAAGAAGCCATTCCTTGACCACACTGGGCATGTTGCTAAAATACATCCATTTAACCCTGAAATATACTTTAGGGGTCCTACCGATTTCCCATAAACACAAAAACAATTCCAGCCATTGGTTAATTACGATTGCGCAGTGCCAATTGGGTAGGGTTGCCAACTGTCCGTGTTTAACCAGAATAGTCTGGTAATTTGATCCGTGTTCTGGTGGGAAGAGTTGATTTGTACCGAGATCAGGTGTGTTCTTTTGAGCTTCATGACAGTTTTCTGTTGGGGTTGCCGTGTGATGTCACGCAATGCGAAATCTACACGTGCTGGGTGGCGGAATTGGTTGATCGGTGCCACACGAGGCCTTGCTGGCATGGCGAGTACTGGCCGGGGTCGCCCCCGCCTCTGGTAGGCCATCATAGCTGGTCTCGGTTAGCAACTCCTCCGGGGGCGCGTCGCGTGGCCCTCTTAATACGCCGCCGGGCCTGGCTGCAGACTCCGGCAGGTCTCCATCTCTTCCTCATTGTCCTCATCCCCTGTATAGGACAGTCCTTCCCCCGAGCACGGCCCTCCTGGGGGGTACTTCTCCACCCGGTGCCTCCGCCTGGTGTGCCCAGCTCGGTGGCACTCGAACCCAAAAGTTGTGGGTTCCAGCAGGACACAACGCCTCCCCGTTTCTCCGCACGTCCACTCCCCACTTCGCCCTCTGCCTCCCCTTTCCTGGTTCCCACCCACTCCGGACCCAAGCTTCCAGATTCGCTACCGAACAGGGAGGGGTCGTCCGGGACTCGTCAGCGCCGATCATATCACCCAGACTTTCCCATTCCAAACCCACCCCTAATCCCTTAAACCCCTCAACTGCCCGTTAACTGCTCATTCGTTTTTGACTTAATCCCAGCGAGTAGTAGTCGTTCTCACAGGCTTTGGACCCGACCATTTCCTTCATTCTGCTGGGGACCACCACGTGTCTTATCAACATTGAGCCTCGTACATTCGGAAAACACATAGTCAGCAGTGGCGGCTCGTCAATAGAGGGCGCAGGGGCGCCGCCCCCATCAATATTCCAGAAATATACATATACAAAATTTATATAAAAATACATAAATAAAATATTTTTTTCATACGATGTGCCGGCTGGTAGTAAGAAAAGCATCAGCATTTAATAAAAACTGCCTTTAATCGGTCAACTATTTTCTATGTTTTTCAATGTGTTTTATGCGGGGCGCCGGACAAATGGATGTCTATGTGAGACTTTACATTTTCGGACAGCATGTGACCTGAAGCTGGTCTCTAATTGGTTTCTTAAAGATTCTCCTCGGGGCGCAAGTCGTTGCGTCCCTGGCCAATCAGAATTGGATACATGTTATTTTATCCAATCTGATTGGTTCTCGTCACCTGTCATTCAAATTTACGCTGTAGGCCACTACTGCGAGTGCGAAGGCGACACCACTTTGACACTTGCTAGGCTGATCAAATTTTTTGTGTAAACAATGGCAGCAGTTCATCCAAATTCTGTAATTTATTTACAAAAAAACCCTTTCACAAGGCTTTCGCTGGAAGAAATAAAAAAGATAAAGGATCTCGGACCGGACCAACCCGATTTACAAATCCAGCAGCAGGCCAGTGACAGAGGACGAAGCTACACACGAAGCTTCACCCGCGCTTGTTATGAGAAACGGAGGTGGCTGGCTGGATGTGATGTTAGCAATTCTCTTTTTTGTTTTCCCTGTCTTTTATTTCAAAGTGTCGGCACTGAAGTTTTGTGGACAACGACGGGGGTAAGAGACCTCAAACATCTCTCTGACAAATGCAAACGTCATGAAAGTAGCCGCAGCCATATTGATAATAGCATGAAACTAACGTTTTTATGTTCAAGTAGGAAACATGCTTTTTGGTACTTTGGTCTGAAATGTATATAAAAGAGAAACATTTATGTTCAAGTAGGAAACATGCTTTTTGGTACTTTGGTCTGAAATGTATATAAAAGAGAAACATTTATGTTCAAGTAGGAAACATGCTTTTTGGTACTTCTTTTGGTCTGAAATGTAAATAAAGATCATCAAAATTTATATTCAAGTAGTCAAAATGGCTTTTGGTACTGCTTTATATTTATTTGCCCCCCTCAATAAAATTTAAAAAATGCGCCCCCCCAAAAATAAATATCACCAGCCGCCACTGATAGTCAGGCCTCCAACTTGGGAGTGAATTGCTTCAAGACGTTTGTCCTGGGTGTGGGGAATGACGGTCCTAACATCGACCAAGTGGCAGAGAGAGATCCGTAAACAATGTGCATTTCACATTGAGCTTGTCCTTGCGTAGTAAACGGGGATTTCCAAAGGTTCCTTCATGTGTTTGTGTGCTTATATACATTTGCATCGCTGCATTATCTACATGGCACCGTTGGCACACGCAGGTGTGATGATGACGTTAATCATGTGAGAGCTGTGCCTCCTGGGGGGCGCACCTGCCCTGCTGCCCACATTAGCAGGTAAACGGGCTTGAGCACAGGTCATGGTCCGCTCGGTGGTCTATGGCTCCACAGACGTTTGCCGGGGAGGTGAGCGGGGTGTATCAGTTGCGTCAACTCTCAGCCCGAGTTAAGCTCGTTCTTCAGTAAAAACTTGAAAATTTATTAAACTCAGAAAAGTATGTAATCGGTCAACTACAATTAATGATATGTACACAGTTTTCACAGATGAAAGGAATTCTCTTGAATGCGATTACTCTCCGTTAAATCGCCGGTGTTTAACCCAGCCTCTTACCGACCACAGCCGGACAGCAGACCGCGCGGGTCTTCTCCCTGTCCGTGGGCTCCCAACACTCCTCCTACTTTTAACCCCCCCCCCCCCCCAACACTGCTCGTCACGTAGGCCACCCGTTTCCCCCTAGCCCCTCCACATGAAACCTTGCCTTATTAACTTGAAAATTCTGTAGCCCTGGGTGGCTGTTTTGAGAGATATCGCAACTGCGAGGTGTGCTGCATCGTGTCAACCTCGCTGTAAACCCTGTTGACCTCCCCCTCTTCAGTAACCCCCCACCCCACTGTTCTCCAACTTATCGCTGGCCCCCTCGCTGAGGCAACCTCAATGCTATTCAAAGTGCTGCCCCTATCCGTGGCAGCACCGCAATGACTCCCAAGTCAGTGCGAAGACGTCACGATACCTATTGCCTTATTTTAGGTTTACAAAAACGGTCACTGCTTCGCGCACTCTCAGATGCGCTTCTGCGGCTGTCTGGAACGCTCTTCCATCCAATATTAGTAAGCTACTGGAGCTACGAACTTTTAAATCTAAATTGAAAACTCATTTCATTAGAACTGCCTTTTGTGTTTAGTTTGTTCTTCCCCGTACCTCCAATTAGCACGGTTGGCTACGCACGGTGCAAAAGAAGTTCAACATACATGTTCTTTGGTTCTTTCGGTAAAGTCATGTAGGTATAAAATAACATATATACCTACGTAACTTTACTGAAAGAACCAAAGAGTATGGATTCCTGCAGTCACGAAAGCAAGCTTCAAATGAAGATCATACATATGTTGTTGTTATTCACAAGCTAAATCAAATTTTTACATTAATTGGCTTATTTTATGGCTCAATACAACTGCACGTTACTGACAGACCAAGGCTGACTTTGAGAAATATGTCCGGGGTTGGTCAGTGGAACCTGCAGTAACTCCCAACACCTCCAAGGTGGTTCTTGCAAAGCACGTGTGGGTCACTTGTTGCATCTGTATGCCAAATGCAATAAATGTGACTTTGCCAGCGGGGGAGGGGCAGGGGTAAATCTGAAATAAGAATGTACACAATGCTTAACGTAGCGTCGTGTACGTATACACAGTGCACATGCACATTCTGTTGGCATGTCTAAGACGTCAGCCCAGATGGAAGTTTTGATTTCTTCTTCTTGGTTTTGAGTCCAAGAGGTAGAGCCAGCCGGAATGCTGTCCTGTATGTGCATAGTGATGTAACATAGTGATATATTTAGCAGTCAAACATGTAGCATAGTGATGTATGTAGCATTGTGACGTATGTAGCAGTCATGTATGTAGCATAGTGATGTAACATGATAGAACAGTGAAATATGTGGCATAAGGATGTATGTAACATGGTGATACATGCAGGATAGTGGTGTATAATGCACATATTTAGCGTGTTTGTGTATGTGCGATGTGCAGCTTGCAATGAAGGTGATAGGTTTATGAAGAACTAGTGGTAAGTACCTGGCGTTGCCCGGGCGAAAAAGACAAGACAGACACATCGACTTACACACAGACATCGACCCACACACATCGAAACTTACACGCACACACACACATAAGGACTTACACACACAGACATCGACTTTAGACACACACACATGGAGTTACACACACACATCGACTCACACATACATACATAGACTCACACACACCTTGACCTACACACACATATGGACTTACAAAGACACGAGGCACACATACACACATTGCCGTACACACATCGACTGACACACACAGACTCACAGACAAACACACATCGACTCACCCACGCACATAGAGCCACACACACATGGACTTACGCACACACACATGTACGTACACTCACACAACAACCGCCATTCGCAACTAAGTGGCGTTGACGTCACCACGACGCTTGTGGAAGGCTATGTGCACCTTGAGGCCACATGAAGTGCCGAACGCCCCCGCTGGCAAGAGGTCACGGGGCAAACACAGGTGCCACGGGTCGACTGAGATGACTGGCTGATGCACCACCTGTGCCCCCTACTGTGCCAAATTGCTGTGCTTTAGCCACCCGGCACTCCGCTCGTTGTTGTGAGCGTCGCTCCTCTGGCCTCCGTTGTTGTTGAAGGGCAACTGCCTTCAACTGCCAGCGTCCTTCACGAGCCTCCTCCACATAGGCCGATCTTGACACCGCTTGTACCAATCATCGGCAAGTCCACTCAGCTCCACATCCTCTTGTACCACATCACTCCATCTCTTCCCTAGCCCATGCTGCGTCCGTTTAGCCCCCTCGATCAGGTCGAACAAAAGTTGTTTAGGCATGCGGTGACTTGGCATGTGGGCTAACTGGCCCAGCCAATGCAGCCTTGCCTGCCGGAGGAGCTCACCGATGAGTCTTTGTCCAGATCTTTCAAGGATTTGTGAGCTCCTCACACAATCCAGCCTAGTTAAACCCAGGATGAATCGTAGGCAGGCCAGCCTAAATGTTTCTAACCAGCTAAGATGCTCCATTAGGGGGGTCCACGTTTCGCAAGCATAGAGAAGGGAGGGAATGACTGTGGCCGAGAAGACCTGAAGCTTCGTGTGGAGCGACAGACCAGGTAGCTTCCACACAGCATTACGCAACCGATGAAAAGATGTCACTCGATTGATTTGGAGTGAAACCTCTGTTGTTAAACCGGAGCCGGTCATAAGCACACTGCCCAGATATGGGAAACTCTCCACTCTCTCCACAACTGCCCCAACACCAATTGGGAGTTGTAGGGGTGAAGTGTTCGATGGTACAAAATACCCTGGCAGGTGCTTAGTTTTGGTGGGGCTGATGGTAAGGCCCCACCTCTTAGTGGCAGACTCCAGGTTTAGCAGCAGTGCCTCAAACTCCTCCTCTGAGTGAGCAGCGATTACCAGATCATCGGCATACATAACATGGTTGAGCAAAAGGGAGCCATCCCTTGACCGCACCCGGGCATCGATCAGCCTCCCATTATATTTGTACCAGATAGAAATTCCTCCGGTACAGCTGTTGAAGGCCTCACGAACTACGTAGTCAAAATAGATGTTAAATAATGTGGTTAGCCAGAGGACATCCCTAATCCCTGTCGCACTCCAAGGTGTAAGCTAATGGCTCTGACTCCCGGCCACATAGATTTACCCGGGCCCACTCACCATCATGAAGGTCCTTAATGATCGTGAGCAGAGGGTCAGGGAATCCGAAAGCACGAAGAACAACCTAGAGCCCAGGCCTACTGATGGTATCATAGGCCTTGACCAGGTCAATAAAGCAGAGATGTAGGTCTTGTTGGAATTCACTTCTGCTGTAGCAAATGGACAGAAAATATGGCATCCGTGCAGGACCGCCCTTTCCTGAAACCACATTGAGGCTCCACAAGCCTCTCCTCAGCGTGCCTAGCAAGGCGATGTTGAATAATTCTTGCCAGGACCTTTCCCGGCACACTGAGGAGTGAGATGTCCCTGTAGTTGTTACAGTCTGTGTGGTCCCCCTTCTTAAAGAGGGGGACCACCAAGGCATCCTTCCAGTCCTGCAGAACCCATCCAGTGGTCCAGACTGTTGTGATGATGTCATGTAGGGCAGTCTGTGCACAAACGCCACCCTCCCTCAGCATTTCGCTTGGGAGATCATCTCTGCCCGGTGCCTTTCCAGGTCTCAAGACTCTGGATCGCCTTTAGTACTTCCTCAACAGATGGCACCTCAGCCAGCCACTCACAGGGGGTGACTTCAAATATTTGGGGCACCGCAGCCTCCGCAGGGTCATCCCCACTTTGTCTCACGATGTTTCCCATGTCGAGGGATTTCCCCTCCCCCAGGACTTCACAGAAATGCTCAGCAAATCTGCAAACCTGCCACGCACACAAAGCGACTAACACACACGCACATCGACTGACACACACATGCACATATCGACCCACACACACAAACACATCGACTTACACACACACATATGGACTCACACACACATAGACATCCACTTTAGATATAGACACATGGAGTTACATACACACATCGAGTGACACGCACACATGTATGGACTTACACACACATGTGGACTAACACACACATTGACTGACACACACACACATCGACATACACATACACACACATCGACAGACACACAAACGCACATTGACTTACACACTCACATGGAGCCATGCACACACATCGACTACCACACACATCGACTAACACACACACACATCGACTAACACACACACACATCGACATACACATACACACACATCGACAGACACACAAACGCACATTGACTTACACACTCACATGGAGCCATGCACACACATCGACTACCACACACATCGACTAACACACACACATCGACTAACACACACATCGACATACACACACATCGACAGACACACAAACGCACATTGACTTACACACTCACATGGAGCCATGCACACACATCGACTACCACACACATCGACTAACACACACACATCGACTAACACACACACAGCGACTGATACATACACATGGACTGACACGCACACTTGGACTGAGAAAACAACAACCGCCATTCGCCACTAAGTAGCGGTGACGTCATCACGACGCTTGTGCTAGGCTGATACACACACATAGACGTACACACACACACCGAACGTTGTCCGTTCAAAAAAGACACACACATCGACTTACACACGCATGGACCTACACGCACATACATATGGACTCAAACACACACACATCGACTCACACACACACATCGACGTGCACAGCAGTCCCCGATGATGGCACAGCTATCAGCATCGCAGTACTATGTATCACTAAACAGCATGATGTGAGCCATCGAAACAATGGAAATAAATTTAAGATATAAGCTAGAATAAGTCGACATTATAGAGCAGCAGTATGCGCAGGTAAGTTAATAAGCAGGCTGCAGTCTAGATTATAGACCTCCAGGACGCATACTCAATGACATAGGCATTACAAGAGTTGACATAATAAGCTGGGAATATGGTCAGCAGCTGAAAAAGCTGGATACAGTCTACATGAAAGGCTGGCACTACACTGAGTGAGATAAAGAAGCAGGCAACAGATTATACAGTGGCATACACTCTAAATGGGCAAAATAAATATTAACAGTGGAAATAATAGAGTGGCAGTGCACTGACATTAATTAAGAAGCAGGCAGCAGGCCACATGACAAGACTGCCAGTACACTGGCTCAGCCTCATGAAAACATACCTAACTAAAAAAATTAGCTACTTTGTATTGAAATCTAAGTTGTTTACACACAAACATTATTAAAGTAATATTTGCAAACAAAATTGTTTCATAATAGTAAACGATCTACGTGAGTTATTCATGAAAGAAGCAATACAATTGTAACGAACATTGCCGTAGTGAGGCCTAGTCCCGTGCAGAGCCTGTGTACTCGCCTAGATTTCTCAGCCGGCCAAGGTGCCTCTCTGGCAGGCTGTGGGCTGTGCCGCGACCCCCACACACCCCCCCCCCCCACCATGAATAATAATGCGAAAGCGCTATAACATATACATCTAGGGACTTTATAGTAGTAACTGCACGCATGTCGGTGGGGGAAGGGGGGACATAAGACTGTGAGGAATTAACCTCAGCGTTGTGTGTATTTGGTGCATTTCTATCGCGAATGGAAATGTGTGCCGATCATGTGTGTGTTGCTAGGGGCAGTTAAAAGTGTAATGTTATAAATACGTATAATACTAATGTGTGCGACTTACCTTGTAGAGTGTGCAGGCGAATAAAGAACCACACACACCTCCGTTGATGGCGCGTGTGGATTGCTAGGGGCTAACCTAGTAGGCGTTGTGCGCAAGTGCAGCCTGCTGTGTTGTCGTTGCAGAAGCGGCGAACGGAAATAAATAATACCAAAACTAAATATATAAATAAAGAAACATCGCCCAAAAAGGTTATTTCAACTAATTTCAAGGTGACGGACGTGAAAAAGGAATAGCGCTTGCTTACGGGGTGGTACCTGGCAAAATATTTTTTACGTAAACCCCACCGTTTGAGAGCCAAATCCCTCGCAAGCGTGTGAACACACACAGACAGACAGAAAATGACATTTATATGTAAGATGAGACGTGGCATAGTACGTGACACAGTACGTGGCATGTTCATGAAGTATTTGCACACGAGAGAAAAAAAACTAATTATGCATTGTCAATAACAATAATATTGTACCTTTTGGAAATATTACAGTTTAAAAAAACTATAACTCTGTCATGACGTGCAGTTGGGAACACTTACTCGCAAGTTGTGCAGATTGGGCTAAAGGTGCAGAAAACTGCAGGGCAGAGGGAGGGAGGAAACACAAATGGACTTAACACATGAAACAAACTTGTTATGGTTTATCGTCCTAGCGTGGCAGATCATCATCGCTATTTCTTATGCACTTCTAGATGAAGGCCTCTGCATAATGATGTCATCCCTTACAATCCCACTGTGTCACAATCCATCTAGCTTCTGGAAACTAGCTGATCTCACAGCTCCAACTCCGTGGTGGGCTTCCTTTCGGGCATGTTCCCTGCTTTGACTGCTTTTCAATCAGCAGTTTTAACAATGGGCCATCATCCTGTAAAAGCTACATGTCTTGCCCAACCCACTTACTTTTAAGAAGTCAAGATGATATCTCTGACTGTGAAAGACACACATTTAATATGATGCGAGAATGATGCTTGCAGGATAGGTATGCCACCATTTCCACAGACCAAATGTGTATTTCTCTACAATGTTTTGGTCTACCAAAACCCAAACACACAGATGCCAGTTCCTGTACCAATTGGTTCAAACCCGGCCGGGTGGTACACGCGTAGGGCCTTACTGGAGAGGCAAACAGAGCAGACGTAGCCGATGGCGATGAGGTTGCGATGGCAGAAGCAGGCAGCGCGGTAGTCCACCTGCACGGGGGGTGGGAGGACCAAGCTGGCACGCAGCTCAGGGTCTGGGAGGAAAACCCACTGGGTGAAGTGGGGGGAGAGCAGGAGGGGGCACATTAGGGTGCGACAAAGGGAAGGCAAAATGTGGCAGTGGGGAACAGATGCAAGTGGAAATTGGGAGGGGCATGAATGATGAAGGAAAAGGGAAATTGAGAATAGAAACGAAATTACACAAATCAGGGAAAAACAATAGTTAGCAAAATTTGCAAAGTACAAAATTCTACGTTAAAATATGAATTTGCATCGTTTATAATTAATGCACGTGTGTGTAATTTTACAATTAAAATAGTTACAAACCTGCAAATATTGCAATAAGGCTGCTATCTGTGGAACTTGCAGATAGATGCCACCTGTGATGTCACATGCCTGTCAAAATATGAAATACTCTTAATGGAGATGCAACTTTCCATGATTTACTTTTACAAAGTTGCTAGCAAAGCCTAAACCTTCGTATGTGTAAGTACAGTAGACTCTCGATGATCCGCGCTAATAATGCGGAGGCCGCGGATAATTCACAATCGCGGATAATCCAAAATAACCATTTTCTGCCGATCATGAAGCCATCCAGATATATAAACACAGACACAATTTCAACCGAGAAGATGGGTACAAACTGAGCAATCATTGGAAGGATGTTATTAACCAGGTAAAGTCATAACTGGCTGTGATGCTTCCATCCTACCTGCCGATGTTAACAGTTATTTCCGACTCTCTGAGTTACATTACCTTGTTAAATGTCTTTACATTAACAGGCTAAATGTCTCACTAACATAGCCGCTGCTTTCCTTTTCCTCGATGTGGCGGTGGCCCATTGTTTAATAGGCTTAATGTGTCTCATTAACACAGCTGCTGCTGCGGGAGCCATCTCACATTGACATGCTAATCTCTAATCTCGAGCAATACAATGGCTTCTTCAGCACCGTAGTCATGGGGTTACATTAACAGATTGACATGCTCATCTCTAGCAATACAATGGCCGAGGGATATTACTTGTAAATTCCATGTCTCGCCCTGCCCACTTACCCTTGGGTTGTACCCATCTCAACCTATATAATCTCTTGCTGCAGTAGTTCTCTCACTATATTTATCCTGCCTCAGCAGTTCGCCTGCTGTATTTCTTCACCTGAAGATGATTGCTCGTGTTGCGATCGAAACGTCGTGATTATTAATTATTTTTCTATATACATGACTTTACCGAAAAAACCAAAGAGTATGAATTCCTGCAGTCACGAAAGCTTTAAGTCAACATTATGTTACGGTTAAGAAAATTTAGTTTGTTAAGGAACAAAACTAAAATTTGTAGTAAAGAATGTGTTGATCTTGTTTTCTTGCAGCAGAGCCACGCCAATCAACATCAATCACAGTCCGCCCACTCTTGTAAATATATGCCACCACTGTATTGTAGAGGCGATCACGTGGATTTAGGATTAACCAGAACACATATTTGATCGGTTTAAGCAGGTGACTTGTAATAAATATTTTCTAGAATAACAAAGTATAACTGTTTTTAGATTATAAATTTGGGCTTAAGGGAAAATACATGAGTTACTAATTTACGTCAAAATGTCAGGTACTCAGTTAATCCGCAAATCGGATAAACCATACGTGGATACACTATGAGATCTCCTTTACCAGTGGCAAAATATAGTAATAGGTTTTTACCCTTTTAACTGGTATAAAATCTGACACCTTTATACAAGGCATCATGTTTGCAATAACCTCAACACAAGAAGTCAAAATGCAAACAAAAAGAAACAACTCTGATGATGATAATGATATGCACTGTCCTTGAAGTTGATTGGTCCACACCCGAGACAGCTTTCTTTAGAGCTTAGTCTCCATTGGTGTTGGACCAGATGACACAATAAGTATAACCCGTAAAAACAAAGTTTTTCACTCTAAATCCTTTATATGTGTGGCGGCTAGAGTCCTCTCGTCCTCTGGCTTGAGATGGCTGCCACCTATGGGTCAGATGATTGTCTGCAGTATTAAACAATTGGTAATTAAATATTTAATTAGTTTTCCCTAAACAGTGTAAAATTTTGGATATTTTTTTCACGAACATTAATTGTCTCGCACAACGAGTCTGTGTGCAAAATGCCAGCTCGATTGGATCACGGGAAGTGGGTTAATAAACGACCGAAAGGTTTGCACGGTCGTAAGCAAGCAAGCAAGCACGCAAGCAAGCAAGCACGCAAGCAAGCAAGCAAACTTAATATAAAGGATTTAAAAAGGCGTACAACTCAAAGACAGTGCACTATCAGAGTATTGAGAGCTCGGGGTAAGCATTTACACTATGAGATCTCCTTTACCAGTGGCAAAATAGAGTAATAGGTTTTTACCCTTTTAACTGGTACAAAATCTGACACCTTTATACAAGGCATCATGTTTGCAATAACCTCAACACAAGAAGTCAAAAGCATTTACGCTATGGTAAAGGAGATCTCAGTGTAAATGCTTACCCCGAGCTCTCAATACTCTGATAGTGCACTGTCTTTGAGTTGTACGCCTTTTTGTGTCATCTGGTCCAACACCAATGGAGACTAGGCTCTAAAGAAAGCTGTCTCTGGTGTGGCCCAATCAACTTCAAGGACAGTGCATATCATTATCATCATCAGAGTTGTTTCTTTTTGTTTGCATTTTGACTTCTTGTGTTGAGGTTATTGCAAACATGATGCCTTGTATAAAGGTGTCAGATTTTGTACCAGTTAAAAGGGTAAAAACCTATTACCATACGTGGATAATCGAGTCTACTGTACACGGTAAAAATAGAGGAAAACTACTTTCCTGTTGCAGAAGACCTGAGTCTGATCCCAAAACACAGGCATCAATAAATATATTCTGTGGGAAAGAGGAACATACCAGAACAGCATTGTCATCATACCGTACATACACAAGATATAATCAATGGGAGGTTTTAAAGAGCGTATCTTAAAATTTGCAGGGAATTTGTTGTAATTGGTGCAATGGTAAGCGAGGCAAGAGGGTGGTGCGAGTTGAAGGCAAGGGAAAGAGGCAAGGTGAAATGATAACAATGGAGAAGGGTTTCAAGAGTTGTAAAGATGTGAGCCAACTGATAGGGAACAATTACAGAACAGTGATACGTTCAGTACTGTTATATGGTGCAGAGACGTGTTCACCAAGGGACAAAGAAGAGGCTTGAAAAGACAAACATGCCGAGATGGAGTTTGAGATTATCTTCTAAGGGAAAGAAGAATTGGAGAAGTTAAAGCCTCTTCACAGGTGACTAAAATATGTTCTAGGTCAGGGAGGTGAGACTTCGAAGGAGATGAGAGTTTCAAAGACTCACATAAAGACCCAAAAGTCTCACACAGAGACCCATAGACTCACACAAGAGACCCATTTACTCACATAAGAGAGCCATATATTCGCACAAGAGACCCATAGAGTCACTCAGAGACCCACAGATTCCAAGAGCTAAGGAGATGCCACCAGTGCAGGGCACAAGTATAATACTAAGAAGGCAAAGGGAGGATGTGGTGGAACAAGATACGTGAACAGCGGACCTTACTGGAGAAGAGGCACAGAATATAAGCTCATGGAGCAGGGAAATCCGAGCAGCCGACTTCCGTGCAAAAATGAGACTTTTTGGCTGAGTGTAAGTATAGATGTATACACAATTGTATACATTTTAAGAAAAGTGTTGATACAAACCTGTTTCTGTGCTGCAAAAATGACATTCATGAAGTTCATGTACTGAGAAGCACTGTCGTCCGCAGCTTTAATCACCTGGCAAGACACACACCGGAGTTTCAAAGTTGCAGGTCAATACACACTTCAAAGCTTTTAAAATGGTTAAGAAAATTATCTGCATGGTTGTTGGTCTAGATAACAGATGCTGAAACAGAATTTTTTAATGTGACAAATCGATGTTTATCACAATTTAAAATACAAAATTTCATTGAAATAGAATTTTAAATTAAATTGGAATTTGAAATTGTCTCATTAAATGTCAATGGATGGCTAAGACAAGCGTATCGTAGAGTTCCACTGTGACCCTTACAATTAATCGAGCATTCTCCATCTCCCTTGGTGCTGATAGCATGAGCAAAGGTCCACATGAGCCGCAAGACTGCACAGCCTGGAAGGCTTGTGTGGGATGTATGTTGGTGAATACAAAACAAAAGGACTGTGGCTCTGCTGATTTGTATCTTATGTGTTTATGCCATTTTGCTTAATACCATGTTTATTCAGGCGAGCCTAATTGCTGTTACAAGAACAAAATACAGCTCACACTAATACATTTTAACAAGGGGCCAAAATGTGTATCGTAGAAGCTGTAGTTGAGACACTGTGTATAATTTGTAGGTGACGGGATTTCAGTGTACATGAATAAACCGACCAGAATTCTGGACTTTACATCTTGTCCTGCCCCTACACACATTGGTGAACACATGCGCACACAGGGAGAAGCAAATAAGGGCTTGGATAATGCATATAGATTATAACATTAATAAGTGCATCACTACAATGTTACTCTACTCTTTGGTTCTTTCAGTAAAGTCACATAGGTATAAAATAAAAGAAATCACGTTTCGGGCACAACACAAGTGTCCATCATCAGGTGGGAAAGCATGGTCTGCCTCAGCAGCAGACCATGCTTTCCCACCTGCCTCAGCAGCAGGCCATGCTTTCCCATCTGATGATGGACGCTTGTGTTGCGCCTGAAACGTCGTGATTTAGTTTATTTTATACCTACGTGACTTTCCCGAAAGAACCAAAGAGTATGGATTCCTGCAGTCACGAAAGCTTCAAATCAAGATACAATGTTACTCTTAAGATGTCTATATGAAGGAGACATAGAGTAGTATGGCTGGAGAGAAATAACTGCAAAGCCTTTGTCAATGCACTCAACTGCAAAGGTCTCTCAATCTAATGAGGAGCTGTTTGACCATACATCATCATCCTAAGTCAGTGCAAGTTGGTGAAAGCGGGGCCCCAAGACTAGTCCAGATATCACTCGCCACCGATGTTAACTGTAGACATCTGTTCTCAAACAACCGAGGGAATCGAATCTGCCGTATACTTTCTGCCCATGTATAATCAATTATAATCAGAATTTGTATTTATACTAGAGGAATCCGATTAGCTATAAAGCTCTTTTTCACATTCTATATTCTTAGGTTTTTTTGGTAAAGTCACATAGGTAAAAAATTAAAATTAATAAAAGTAAAATAAAATAAAAATCACGACGTTTCGGAGGCAACACAAGCTTCCGTCTTCAGGTGGAACCGTCACAGCACGCTTGCTGTATCAAGTAAATGAGAAATTCCAAGAGATACTACCCCGTATATATACTGGTTGAGGGGGGATGAGCCAGGACAGGCCCCCTTTTTATTATTATGGTAAGGTTGGTGCAGCTTGAAACTACGGCTAGTCTACATAACTAAGGACTGAGCCTTTGTTATGTAGACTGGCTGAGAGGGGGGGGGGGGGGTGCCAGAGTTGTTAAAGTGCAACTGCTGCTAATGGAACCGAGCCTCTGCTATGTAGATGGTAAAAGCAAAAAAGCAGGTCAGGAAGAAACAGCCTCCTGCTATGTTGCTTGGTGGGTAAAACTTATAGCAGGAAACCAGCGCGTGAAAAAAGAAGCTAAACATGGTAAAACAAAACTGGCTGTCTATCAGTAACATATGTCCAGCAGGGGTAGGTAAGAACGTTACAACAAAAAAAACACCAGAGGAGTGCAAAGTCTAGGAAAGGTAAACATATCACTTCAAATATACAAATATACATATTTGTTTTATCTTACCAGGTAAATCCCACTTATTTTTCAGACTTACCTGGCCACAAATGAAAGTTTAAGAAAGTGGCTTATCATGTGTAAATTTATAGCAGCAAATTTATCTAAATAATCTCAATGTCGGGCCTGCCACCAGTCTCTTTACCAAATTACGTAGTTTAAGTTTATCGTATTTGTCATACAGATGGTCTCGTTTAGCCAGTTTCCTGGCTATTTTACAAGGGGGATATGTGGTGCATGAGCACAGCAACAACAAAACAAAAACATAAATATCGCCAAGGTTGAGTTACTTGATCCTTCTGGAATATCGCACAACAATCGAGGTATTTAACGGTTGTCAATGACACACACACGAATAAAAAAAAAACTGTGCAAATATAATGAGATCAAGATGCGCCAGAAAAAGTTATCTATAAGTGCAAGTAAGCTCTGTGTATTTGTTGTTTAATAGAGAAATAAAGAAGGGGAGTGAAGCGAGGAATAAGGGGGCGCTTTTGAGGCTAGGGGGAAGGGCGTTAGAGGAGCAAGTGGTCCTTTCAGTAATTGGCGGATTTAAGACGACGTTTAGGATGAAGACAGACCAGTGACGGTCTCTCTGGATATCCAGGGGGGACAGGTTTGAGTTAATTCATTCAATCAAAACTGTTTTGGAGTAAAAACTCACCTCCACGAAACAGGGCATCACAATACTTTACAGTATAAATTAAACGAAGGTAGTCCTACCTATAAAATCAAGACATAAAAACATTAAAATAAGGGGACATACTCAAGGAAAAGCTAATTTATAGGTTGTGTTGATGAGGAGGCATCAAGGGCAAAACAGAGTGGAGTTGTGAAATGGAATAAGACATCTTTGGGGAAACTAAGCGACATGTCCCGGACCGTGTTTGTGAATATAAAGCAGATCTGAAACACAGTAGGACCAATACCTCGGCCGTGGCTGATCATTGTTTTAATGCGGTGGGCTCACACGAAATAGATTCCTCGAAGACGAAGGTACTTTGCAAACCCACGGGCTATCAACAAAGATTCGTTCATGAAGCCATCCATATATACAGACATAAACACATTTTAAACCGAGAAGACGGGTACAAACTCAGCAATCACTGGAAGGACGTTATCAACCAGTTTAAGTCATAACTGGCTGTAATGTTTCCATTTTAGACCTGGCAGCCCTTTAATGGGTGGAAGCCCACCACCAGTCCCGTCACCTCTAGCAGCAACAGTGTGAGTGTGTAAAGCGAGGTGCAATGATTACTTGGCAACCCTTGAATTGGTGGAAACACACCACCAGCGTAATCATCACCCTCCACGAGTACCATCACCTCTTACGCCTCACTACATCACCTTCTAGCACCCCCTACATGCTGGGGCACACCGTTTTTAATCCTTAACATTAACATTAGCTTCCCCGTCCATGCCGCTGACACTTGGGCTACACCCATTTCAAACCTTTATAAACAGTTTGCCTTTAGAGGCTAACCCCCTTTTCCTGATGACAACTGCTTGTGTTGCGATCGATACGTCGTAGGTTTAGTTATTTTCCTTGAAACTAAAATGTGACTTTACCGAAAGATCCAAAGAATATGGAATGAGACATTTTAAGGAATATACAGAAGCTAGGTGGTAGATAGTGTCACATTTGACAAATATGGGCAGGGTGGTAGCTTAAACTATATTCAAACGGAGTTGAGGTGGAACACAGCGTTTGTTTCTGTATAGGAATCCAATTGTGGGTTTTACATTATTGGCCATGTGGCCAATGTGGGACTTGAAAACGATTTTGAGCCCAGGAAAATAACTAGATATTTAAAATTGTCAACCTGCCCAACAATACTATTACTATTGTTGTCGATTATCAAACATAGGTTTATGCTGTAATATTAAATGTTTTTTGAACGTAAACAAAATGGCAACAAATCTAAACAAAAACTCTATTATTTTTTTATTTTACCAGGTAAGGCCCACTGAGCTTTTTGCTCTTTTTCAGAAGTGACTTGGCCACAAATGATAGCTGACATTTCTAACAGTGTTGAGGATGAGTTATAGGGCATTAAGAAGAAGTTGAATATGATCAAAGTCCTGTTCGAAGATGCTGTTGCAACTCCTCCATGAAATGACCGAAGGCCATGGAAGCAAAAAGGTTAATGTCAGAGTACAGATTGTTGAAGTAGAGAGAAAACAGGATAGTACCAAGGACAGAGCTCCGAGGACCTCTCTTAGTAAAGGGAGGTCCTGTCAAATGATGTATTATTGATGGATAAATTTGGTCAAAAAATTTGTTACAAATCCAGTGGATTGCACAATCCAAAATTAAAGAATTTAAGCCTTTGCAACATTACAGCATGATCCACAGTGTCAAATGGTGCAGGCAAGTCGAGGAATAGGTTGTCACGATGACAACGAGACTCAAGACTGTTGAAGACAGAGTCAGGAGTATGGAAAACCGCAGAGGCTGTAATACATTTTTCTCGAAAGCCAGATTGCTTAGGGTGGACTAAGAAATGTTCTGAGATAAAATTTGTGATTTGTGATTTTAAGACCTTCTCAAAGATCTTGACGAGAAGGGAGAAGATTCAGATGGGGCAGTAATTGTTTGGGTCGTCTGCAGCGCTACCTTTATGATGAGGGCATGCAAGAGCAGTTTTCCATTCAGGAGGGATGGATGCCTCCAGAATGGAAAGGCACATTGAGGTACATCGTCATTCTCTACAGTTGGGCTTTCAGTCTCAGTGGCACACGCTTGTCACATGCAACCCCCCCCCCCCCACCCGAGGCATTATTTCACTCTTGCATCAGGCCCTTGCACAAATAACCATGGCAGCAAGGAATTTAACTGCTTGCTCACAAGGGGTTGTTAATCTAAATTTTGTAAGCTGAAGATATTACTATTTTGGACCCATAAATTGTGCAACTAATGGCCCATTCGGTGTTTGTCCCCACAGTGAAAAAATGTCACACAGACATTTACAATAAATACGTACCTTCATTCTCTTTCATGATTCTGTGAATGTCTGATGAGGTCAAGTCAAGGTTATGGTCATGGTTGTTCATGTACACGTAGTAATTCGAAGATAATATTACATATACATATTAAGTATAGGCACATAACTGCATTCATTCATCCATCAAATAAAATCGATTATGCTCACAATACATATGAATCGTGCAAACGAGTCAATTATCTTATATTCGTGTTTGTTGGCATGAGTAAACATCAGCTTAGCCACTGTTCCAAAACACACGTTTCTTGAATTTAATCACGACCCAGAATGACAATTCTTATAATCGCGAGGGAGAAGCATTTAAGCCTTATTGAATCTCAAGATTGTTTTCATGAGGGTCCTGATAGGTTTTTTTGCAGCACAGGCAACAATTGCAATGTTTTCCAATTGAGCAATGTGCCATGTAATTTTTCAAAATTTGTATCATGATGCCACACGCAACAGCCTGCTCTTCTTCGAATGACATCACAAGTAACTTCAACATCTTCCGTGAACACACGACACATTCATGATTAATACACCCGCACAATAAACTTTCTGGATCACAGCAGCCTCACTCCATTCCACAAATACAAATGAAGACGAGAGATGGAAGCAAGTCTGGACTGCGGCCGACATCAAAAATAAACATCTCATACAGGACCCTACCGTTGAATCTCCCCGTTTCAACCTTCCACGCCGCCAACGGTCGACCATCAACCGAATGGGGACCGGGCATGGCCGATGCGACCACCCAATGCACAAATGGCGCATCGAAATTTCGGCGGCCTGCGAGTGTGGCCCAAAATCCCAAACCATCAACCGCATCGTAAACACCCCGCTGCTGTTGTGGTGCCACGACCGCGGAGCCACTCCGCAAGCGCCGCGATTCCCCCCCTACCCCGACCCTGAACGCAGACACGTCGCGCACACACACATGTAGCGTCCCGGCGGGGGATCGCCTGGCACCACGGGTTTTCATCTGAAGGGTCCCTAGGTGGGAAGTCCCGTGGTTTCCCGGTGCCAGGAGAATGGCCAACCCCCCCAGGACAAATCACATTGCGGCCCCCCTAAATTGGCTTAAAATTGTATGGGCGCACAAAAGTTCACCGGGCCAGCCGCAATGAGTCACTCATAACGCCAGGGAGGGGCCAGGGTGAATATTAAGCGAGCAGCGAAGACGATGAGGTCAGGGGGAAATCCTAGGGCACACTCGCGGGTGTGTATTCGCCAACTGGGCGGCCTTCCAGATTAAACCGGCTGAGTCAAGGGTTAATGAGACAATGGGAAGAAAAATAGCGTAACGTAATGCTCTAGGTAAGGGCAGAGAAACGTTTGAAAATCAAAAGGTAGGCGCACAATTGGCTGCGCAGGATGCCGTAACGTAACCCTGGATTTTCGAAATCACAGGGCATAAAAAGGGGAGCCGAAAACGGTTAAGGCAGTTCTGATCTTCAATAGCTTGGTCGACAAGACCCCCTCTGCCTTCCAGAATAGCGGACCCTGAATTGAACAAAGGATACAACACAGCGCCTTTGCCAAAGATCCAGCCAAAAGTGAATCAGACCTCATATCTGCTGTCACTTCAGCTGAAAAAAACAAACAGAAGGCATTTTTGAGAGCTTTAGAATAATATCATCATCATTAAGTAGCCCCACTCCTTTACCTTCTTCCATTCCTCTCCCAAAGCTTACACCGGACAAGTGGTAACACCACTACAATGTAAATAGTGAAGTGGGGAAGTGGAAGATGCCTACTGTTGGCAAGCAATGCCGTGATCTGGGTGGCGATGGCGTGGTTGGCGGTCGCCAGCAGCTCACAGCGGCCGTCACGTGGGCCAGCCGAATCCCCCGCATCACTCGCCTGTTGCTCCGTGGCTGTCCCACTCGCCGGGTACAGGAACCGACTGTGCACACGTAGGTGGAAAAAGAAGCATCAGTCACACGAGCACAGGCCCAGTAACAAAACAGCACCATCAAAGTCTTAACAGATAAAGAGTTCACATGTCCCTTGAATTGAGCAGTTATACGAGCTTGGAAAAATAAACGATGGGAAGATATTCCAAAGTGGAGAAGTGCGAGGGAAGAAGGAGGAACAGAAGTGTTGTGAGCGGCAGTGTGGTGGGTGGGTGTGGTATTGTGACCTGCAGTGTGGTGGCTGGGTGGGTGTGTTGTTGTGATGTGCAATGTGGTTACTGGGTGGGTGGGTGTGGTATTGTAACCTGCAGTGTGGTGGGTGGGTGAGTGGGTGTGTTATTGTGACCTGCAGTGTGGTGGGTGGGTGTGTAGATATGACCTGCAGTGTGGTGGGTGGGTGAGAGGGTGTGCTGTTGCGACCTGCAATGTGGTGGGTGGGTGTGTTGTTTTGACCTGCAGTGTGGAGGGTGGGTGAGTGGGTGTGTTTTTGTGACCTGCAGTGTGGGGGGTGGGTGTGTTGTTGTGACCCACAGTGTGGTGGGTATGTGTGTTGTTATGACCGGAAGTGTGGTGGGTAGGTGAGTGGGTGTGTTGTTGTGACCCGCAGTGTGATGGGTAGGTGTGTTGTTGTGACCCGCAGTGTGGTAGCTGAACACAGTACGAATTAGCCCAATCAGCTTGGTAGGCCGTGTCCTTAATATGGGTGAATGAATCAATGAGTGAAGTTCACCCAAACAGCAACCATGACAGCAGCGATATAAGCATGACTAGGAGGCGATTGACTGCCGGTGACTGAGCAACCAGAACATCAATCAACTTGACTGCTTTACGTTGAAACCTATTGAGTACTGTGAGGTAGGACTGAGTGCTCCACTCCAGATATGAGAATAGCATTCCAACTTCAGCCAAATTTGCGCTTGGTACAGTTGTAATAATTTTTGAAATTAAACAGCGTTTGGCATGGAGGGGAAATGGAATGGGATGTGCCCACGGCACTATTCGTGGGGATCATGACTCGGCCAGGCTTGTATGTATGTCTTTGTATGTTGAACTTCTTTCGCACCATACGTAGCCAACCGTGATAGTCGTGGTTTTGGTTTGGCTCAGATCCCAGCATGGCTGTAGCTGCAATGAAGCGAGCGTGCAACCATGGCATATGCTGATGAGTTCTGATGAGGTCCACATAAAAACATGGCTTCAGGCAAATGCATTGTTCACGCCAGGAGATGCAACTTCACGCACGGAAAATCACAGGCAAGCGCCCACACGCAAGCCCATAAAACCCCCAGCACAAAATGATCTCACCTCTCTTGGTTGTGGCTTGCGATGACTGCAAGCCGATGGTTCCTGCTCATTGCCAGATGGGAGTTGGCGAAGACCATCACAGCATCCACACAACGTGGCAGTGTAAACTAGGTAAAAAAAAACATTACCGAGTTATAATCGTAAAATGTACATTTATTTATAGAGGCATTACATGCCAGCACCACACGATGACAGCCAGTGAAAATGACAGAACTGTCGAGTCAAAAAGCAACTATTAACGATGCCACATATGGTCAACAACATCCAGCTGTCTTTCTCCCCGGCTGTGATGTTGACATATTGCACCCAAGCCAATTTAGGGGAGGGCTCGGCCAAATGCAAAAAAAATTTGCCAGCGATTGTGAACATGGAAAGGAATTGAACACAGGTCAATGAAAACCTAGTGCAGTGCAATGATCACTCAACTACGACTACCCATAAAAATAAGAGGTATTGTATTATTTCCCTTCTACGTGACTTTACCGAAAGAACCAAGTAGATGAATCCCTGCAGTCACGAAAGCTTTAAATCGAAATTTAAACATTCCATAATTAAGAGTTATAAAATACCAGAGCAAGTTCTGTTAGTTATCAGGATGTATGTCACTAATAGACACTCACACACATTTAAAGTTTAATCGGATACCTCCAGGTTTTGGAGTTTTCTTGTTCCCCACCATATGGGATTCACATCCAACACGATCACCAGCAGGTTAATGTCCTCATCTGTTAAAGAAAGTCAAATCACTTAAAACGTAGGTTTGTGTAGCCAATATTGATCCATATTTGTTATTTTCGTTTAATCTATTTGTGACTAGATTTGGATTCTTGTCTTGGATTAATACACGGCCTACGTGGAGGGTTGGGGGGGGATGCGTGACGTCAGCAGGCATACTGCATAACGCTGCCGCATGCGGGTGACATCACAGATGTGACGTCACCGCTCACTTGCCGTGCAAAATATATGCATTATTGCCCCCCCCCCGCTCCCCAAAATACAAAAGTCTATTTTTATACTTTTTGTATTATGTACAGTCTGGAAGCTACCCACATGCCAAATTTCAAGTTTGTTGCATGTCGGTAAGTACACTAAACATTTTTAACAGACACACATTCACAACTTTGTCTTTTATATATACAGTATGGAGATTGAAGGGTATGTCAGGAACTCAATATCTACTAATAGCAAACTATTTATAGGGCAATTTAAGAAATGTTCATAATTCTTTTTTTTACTTAATGTCATTAGGTTCCATGGTTTAAAGTACAGACCCCAACTGTTATTCTCATCCACTCTGTCTCTGTGGCCTATGTTTGTGCCAAGAAGGAAGGCCATTGCCTAAAACGTCGCCTAATGCAATGGTTCTCAACCAGGGGTACGCGGACCCCTGAGGGGGTACATGGTAATGTCCCAGGGGATATGTAAGGTGATTTATAAATTAAAAAAATGTGAAATTATATCATGCATGAGTCATCGGTGAATGATGTATTAATCTGGCAATATAAAACTACTTTGAAATTAAAATCCATAGGGTAATCGATAACGGTATCAAATAACTTTCTAAACTCATTGATCATCAACAATGCGGTTTCCAAGAGTAACCAGCGAGAGCATTCAAATCACGTCACGCATGCAGTCAGTTATTTAACTAGTTAGGATACCTGACAAAAAAACAATTGGGTTTAAAATATTGACGTTCATTATTCATACATTTATTCTCAGAAGCGTTTTGGGTCAGTCACGGGGGATTACTCGGTTAAAAAAATGCAACAAGGCGGGCAGAGTAAGCCAAACAAAGGCTGAGAATCACTGGCCTCAGGTTATCAGGTACACTTTAACATGCAAGCCAGTGTTTTGATCAGTGTTTTTTTATCGTTTCACACAATCGAAACAGTTCGATTGAAACATCACATGTTGGTATTAAATTAAACAAAGTTAAATTCAGGAATGAAATTCTTACACCACCAGTGAGGCGTTTTGATCGGTCACAATTTGATCAATCTGGGATGGATAATAAGTATCTTTGTATACACAACAATCTTTTTGGGCAATGGAGTTGACATGAATTTTGACAGAAAACTAATAAATTACTGAACCCAAAACAAATATCGATCAGCAGCGTCAAACATCTTAGATAATACACAATGTTATTTGCGTCATTGTGGAGAATATAAGTAACAAAATAAATGAGCAGATAAATTACATCTCATCGGCCATGTCACCCATTACCTCTGGCCCCCAGTGTTATCGCTGTCAAAGGGTTACCACTTGCCCAGTGTCACCACTATCCCACTGTCACCACTAGCACAGTGTTAACACTGTCTAACTGTCACCACTACACAGTGTTAACACTGTCTAACTGTCACCACTGTCACAGTGTTAACACTGTCTAACTGTCACCACTAGAAACAGTGTTAACACTGTCTAACTGTCACCACTGTCTGAGTGTTAACACTGTCTAACTGTCACCACTGTCTGAATGTTAACACTGTCTAACTGTAACCACTACACAGTGTTAACACTGTCTAACTGTCACCACTACACAGTGTTAACACTGTCTAACTGTCACCACTGTCTGAGTGTTAACACTGTCTAACTGTCATCACTGTCTGAATGTTAACACTGTCTAACTGTCACCACTACACAGTGTTAACACTGTCTAACTGTCACCACTAGCACAGTGTTAACACTGTCTAACTGTCACCACTACACAGTGTTAACACTGTCTAACTGTCACCACTACACAGTGTTAACACTGTCTAACTGTCACCACTAGCACAGTGTTAACACTGTCTAACTGTCACCACTACACAGTGTTAACACTGTCTAACTGTCACCACTACACAGTGTTAACACTGTCTAACTGTCACCACTAGCACAGTGTTAACACTGTCTAACTGTCACCACTAGCACAGTGTTAACACTGTCTAACTGTCACCACTAGCACAGTGTTAACACTGTCTAACTGTCACCACTAGCACAGTGTTAACACTGTCTAACTGTCACCACTAGCACAGTGTTAACACTGTCTAACTGTCACCACTAGCACAGTGTTAACACTGTCTAACTGTCACCACTAGCACAGTGTTAACACTGTCTAACTGTCACCACTACACAGTGTTAACACTGTCTAACTGTCACCACTAGCACAGTGTTAACACTGTCTAACTGTCACCACTACACAGTGTTAACACTGTCTAACTGTCACCACTACACAGTGTTAAGACTGTCTAACTGTCACCACTACACATTGTTAACACTGTCTAACTGTCACCACTACACAGTGTTAACACTGTCTAACTGTCACCACTAGCACAGTGTTAACACTGTCTAACTGTCACCACTAGCACAGTGTTAACACTGTCTAACTGTCACCACTACACAGTGTTAAGACTGTCTAACTGTCACCACTACACAGTGTTAACACTGTCTAACTGTCACCACTAGCACAGTGTTAACACTGTCTAACTGTCACCACTAGCACAGTGTTAACACTGTCTAACTGTCACCACTAGCACAGTGTTAACACTGTCTAACTGTCACCACTACACAGTGTTAACACTGTCTAACTGTCACCACTACACAGTGTTAACACTGTCTAACTGTCACCACTGTCACAGTGTTAACACTGTCTAACTGTCACCACTAGAAACAGTGTTAACACTGTCTGTCACCACTGTCTGAGTGTTAACACTGTCTAACTGTCACCACTGTCTGAATGTTAACACTGTCTAACTATCACCACTACACAGTGTTAACACTGTCTAACTGTCACCACTAGCACAGTGTTAACACTGTCTAACTGTCACCACTACACAGTGTTAACACTGTCTAACTGTCACCACTGTCTGAGTGTTAACACTGTCTAACTGTCACCACTGTCTGAATGTTAACACTGTCTAACTGTCACCACTACACAGTGTTAACACTGTCTAACTGTCACCACTAGCACAGTGTTAACACTGTCTAACTGTCACCACTACACAGTGTTAACACTGTCTAACTGTCACCACTACACAGTGTTAACACTGTCTAACTGTCACCACTAGCACAGTGTTAACACTGTCTAACTGTCACCACTACACAGTGTTAACACTGTCTAACTGTCACCACTACACAGTGTTAACACTGTCTAACTGTCACCACTAGCACAGTGTTAACACTGTCTAACTGTCACCACTAGCACAGTGTTAACACTGTCTAACTGTCACCACTAGCACAGTGTTAACACTGTCTAACTGTCACCACTAGCACAGTGTTAACACTGTCTAACTGTCACCACTAGCACAGTGTTAACACTGTCTAACTGTCACCACTAGCACAGTGTTAACACTGTCTAACTGTCACCACTAGCACAGTGTTAACACTGTCTAACTGTCACCACTAGCACAGTGTTAACACTGTCTAAATGTCACCACTAGCACAGTGTTAACACTGTCTAACTGTCACCACTACACAGTGTTAACACTGTCTAACTGTCACCACTAGCACAGTGTTAACACTGTCTAACTGTCACCACTACACAGTGTTAACACTGTCTAACTGTCACCACTACACAGTGTTAAGACTGTCTAACTGTCACCACTACACATTGTTAACACTGTCTAACTGTCACCACTACACAGTGTTAACACTGTCTAACTGTCACCACTGTCTGAGTGTTAACACTGTCTAACTGTCACCACTGTCTGAATGTTAACACTGTCTAACTGTCACCACTACACAGTGTTAACACTGTCTAACTGTCACCACTAGCACAGTGTTAACACTGTCTAACTGTCACCACTACACAGTGTTAACACTGTCTAACTGTCACCACTACACAGTGTTAACACTGTCTAACTGTCACCACTAGCACAGTGTTAACACTGTCTAACTGTCACCACTACACAGTGTTAACACTGTCTAACTGTCACCACTACACAGTGTTAACACTGTCTAACTGTCCCCACTAGCACAGTGTTAACACTGTCTAACTGTCACCACTAGCACAGTGTTAACACTGTCTAACTGTCACCACTAGCACAGTGTTAACACTGTCTAACTGTCACCACTAGCACAGTGTTAACACTGTCTAACTGTCACCACTAGCACAGTGTTAACACTGTCTAACTGTCACCACTAGCACAGTGTTAACACTGTCTAACTGTCACCACTAGCACAGTGTTAACACTGTCTAACTGTCACCACTACACAGTGTTAACACTGTCTAACTGTCACCACTAGCACAGTGTTAACACTGTCTAACTGTCACCACTACACAGTGTTAACACTGTCTAACTGTCACCACTACACAGTGTTAAGACTGTCTAACTGTCACCACTACACATTGTTAACACTGTCTAACTGTCACCACTACACAGTGTTAACACTGTCTAACTGTCACCACTAGCACAGTGTTAACACTGTCTAACTGTCACCACTAGCACAGTGTTAACACTGTCTAACTGTCACCACTACACAGTGTTAAGACTGTCTAACTGTCACCACTAGCACAGTGTTAACACTGTCTGTCACCACTAGCACAGTGTTAACACTGTCTAACTGTCACCACTAGCACAGTGTTAACACTGTCTAACTGTCACCACTAGCACAGTGTTAACACTGTCTAACTGTCACCACTAGCACAGTGTTAACACTGTCTAACTGTCACCACTACACAGTGTTAACACTGTCTAACTGTCACCACTAGCACAGTGTTAACACTGTCTAACTGTCACCACTACACAGTGTTAACACTGTCTAACTGTCACCACTACACAGTGTTAAGACTGTCTAACTGTCACCACTACACAGTGTTAACACTGTCTAACTGTCACCACTACACAGTGTTAACACTGTCTAACTGTCACCACTACACAGTGTTAACACTGTCTAACTGTCACCACTACACAGTGTTAACACTAACTGTCACCACTAGCACAGTGTTAACACTGTCTAACTGTCACCACTAGCACAGTGTTAACACTGTCTAACTGTCACCACTACACAGTGTTAACACTGTCTAACTGTCACCACTACACAGTGTTAACACTGTCTAACTGTCACCACTGTCTGAGTGTTAACACTGTCTAACTGTCACCACTGTCTGAATGTTAACACTGTCTAACTGTCACCACTACACAGTGTTAACACTGTCTAACTGTCACCACTACACAGTGTTAACACTGTCTAACTGTCACCACTACACAGTGTTAACACTGTCTAACTGTCACCACTACACAGTGTTAACACTGTCTAACTGTCACCACTACACAGTGTTAACACTGTCTAACTGTCACCACTAGCACAGTGTTAACACTGTCTAACTGTCACCACTAGTACAGTGTTAACACTATCTAACTGTCACCACTTGCACAGTGTTAACACTGTCTGTCACCACTAGTACAGTGTTAACACTATCTAACTGTCACCACTAGCACAGTGTTAACACTGTCTAACTGTCACCACTAGCACAGTGTTAACACTATCTAACTGTCACCACTAGCACAGTGTTAACACTGTCTAACTGTCACCACTAGTACAGTGTTAACACTGTCTAACTGTCACCACTAGCACAGTGTTAACACTGTCTGTCACGAGCGCGCCACTCACTCGCCAGCGGCACCCCTCGCTGTGGCCCCTGCTACTGCACCAACACCGCACAACGCTGCACCAACACTGCACCAACACTGCACCAACACCGCACAACACTGCACCAACACTGCACCAACACCGCACAACGCTGCACCAACACCGCACAGCGCTGCACCAACACCGCACAGCGCTGCACCAACACTGCACCAACACCGCACAACGCTGCACCAACACCGCACAGCGCTGCACCAACACCGCACAGCGCTGCGCAACACTGCACCAACGCTGCCCCAACACTGCACCAACACCGCACAGCGCTGCACCAACACCGCACAGCGCTGCACCAACACCGCACCAACACCGCACAACGCCGCACCAACACCGCACAGCACCAACACCGCACAGCGCTGCACCAACACCGCACAGCGCTGCACCAACACCGCACCAACACCGCACAACGCCGCACCAACACCGCACAGCACCAACACCGCACAACACTGCACCAACACCGCACAGCGCTGCACCAACACCGCACAGCGCTGCACCAACACCGCACAGCGCTGCACCAACACCGCACCAACACCGCACAACGCCGCACCAACACCGCACAGCACCAACACCGCACAACACTGCACCAACACCGCACAGCGCTGCACCAACACCGCACAACGCTGCACCAACACCGCACAGCGCTGCACCAACACCGCACAACGCTGCACCAACACCGCACAGCGCTGCACCAACACCGCACAACACTGCACCAACACCGCACAGCGCTGCACCAACACCGCACAGCGCTGCACCAACACCGCACCAACACCGCACAACGCCGCACCAACACCGCACAGCACCAACACTGCACCAACACCGCACAGCGCTGCACCAACACCGCACAACGCTGCACCAACACCGCACAGCGCTGCACCAACACCGCACAACACTGCACCAACACCGCACAGCGCTGCACCAACACCGCACAGCGCTGCACCAACACCGCACCAACACCGCACAACGCCGCACCAACACCGCACAGCACCAACACCGCACAACACTGCACCAACACCGCACAGCGCTGCACCAACACCGCACAACGCTGCACCAACACCGCACAGCGCTGCACCAACACCGCACAACGCTGCACCAACACCGCACAGCGCTGCACCAACACCGCACAACACTGCACCAACACCGCACAGCGCTGCACCAACACCGCACAACGCTGCACCAACACCGCACAACGCCGCACTAACACCCACTTAGCCCGCGTGCAGCACAGCGGCACAATGCCGCACTGTACACACCACTGTACCTGTGGCCATGTCGCCTCCACCAGCGCGCGACGTCCGCGGGGGGGGGGGGGCACGTGATGCACGCGGGGGACGGGGGTGTGGTCAATCAGAGGGGGTGGGTCATGAGGCGTGGTCACGCGGAGGGGCGTGGTCAGGCAGGGGGGGTCACGCGGAGGGGCGTGGTCAGGCAGGGGGGGTCACGCAGGGGAGGCGTGGTCATGGGATATATGGGCTCGGTGTGCGTAGTTTTAAATCCTTTATATTAAGTTCGCTCGCTTGCGTGCTTGCTTGCTTGCTTACGACCGTGCAAATCTTTCGGTCGTTTTTTAACCCACGCCCATACTTGAAAAGTGTTGTATATACGACCTGTAGTAAGAGATGAATCCCAGCATCTTCCTGAGCTCTCCCACTGTTGCAGGCTTCCTTGCCTTAAGTGCATGAATTGGGGAAATCTCTGCTGGGTCCATAGTATCACCATCATTCGATACAATTTTGCCTAAGTATCGCACCTTATTCTGGAACAACTCACATTTTTTGGCTGTCAGTTTGTTGATACCAACGCAAGACCATTTGTACATGCTGAACATGATCTTCAAAGGACTTGCTGTGAACAAGGTTGTCATCCAGGTAAGGCTGACAGAATTCATCCCGAAGACCAGACAGGCAGTCCTCTGGAATTCTGCTGGTGCTGAACTCAAACCAAAGGGGATACCCACCCACTCATATAATCCCCATGGTGTGATAAAAGCTGTGAGGGGGCAACTTTCTTAATCGAGGAAGCCTTGATGGTAGGCTTTCCCTTGGTCTAAAACAGAAAACCAAGAACTCCTACTCAAACTGTCAAGCATGTCTTGGATACTTGGAATGGGATGCCTGTCAGGAACAGACTTCCGGTTCAGCTCTCGATAATCACAACATAGTCTCAGGTTTCTGTATTTCTTCCTTACGCAGACAATTAGTGAAGAATATGATAATCTTGATTTTATCACCGAGCCTCGGTTGATCAAATCTTGCAGATACTGCTTAACTTCATTATGCAATGGTTTTGGGACTGCAATGTACGTCTTTTGCACTGGAGTCCTATCCTTGAGGGTGATATGCATTTTCAATGAAGGTATTGTCATCCCTAGAAAAAGAATGCCATTTCTCTGTGAGCATCATCTTGGTGGCAATTTGCTACTCCTTTGTTAGGTGGTTCAGTTTTACCAGTGGGTCCCATTTTTCACTTTGCTCTTGAACTTTTGGCCTCAGCTGCAGCCCCTTAGCTTTTGCTCCACCAGTTATGTGGCCACCCTGTGTTTGTTGGCATATCTGATCCTGAATAGGGGTGCCTTGGTGATATGCCACAGGTCTTATTGCTGCTGGATACACATGTTTCACTGGCTGTAAGTGTCCTAGGGTGACCCGCTGATCAAGTATGATGCTGTATTTGGTCGTGTTGATCACTGAGATTGGTATGCACAATGAGTTGCCTCTACCCAGCGTCGCCATGACCTCATTGATGTGTAAACCCTCTGGCCATTGGGGCTTCTCTTCAGGGACAAACAGCATCACTTCATCTTCCTCCAGCTGTCCTAAATGAGCACGACTTAGAACCATTGTGGCTTGAGCTGGTGGTAGCACCACTCTCTGCCTGTCTTGACTGCCCCACCATCACTGTCCCGGTTGCCAGAAGGATGAGGACGTTTGTGTCTCCCGGAGTGATGGAGAAAGCTTCACCCACAACCCCCACTTTAATGGGGTTCGTATTTGGCTCTCCTCCTTCCACAAGCCCATTGATGACCTACTCGATGGCATTCAAACCAATAATGGGATATTCTGCAACCCTGGGGTCACTGAATACCAGCATTGGAATGAGAAAGCACTGACTGGTCCCTATATTACTGTTCAATCTGAATGCCACCTCTATCCATCCTGTGAATGGTATTTCTGTTTGTTTAACTGCCATTCCAGTAATTGTACCAGTCCCCAAGAGCTCTTCAATTGGTTTTACTATTGACTTCGGTAAATGCTCATTTCGCCATGCTTCATTTATACCACAGGCTTGAGCTCCTGTGTCCCAAAGGGCAGAGGTTGATACGTGGTCCAGTAAACACTTCACAATGCATCTTTTCCAATTAACTTTAACAGTCTGTTGTTGCATTTAGGCCTGAGATAGCTAACTTTGCCAATATTTGGGTTCCTCCACTCTGGTGTCTATTCACATTCTGTTTCCTTCTGTAATGTGATGATTGCTTGTGCTCTTGCCAGTGTTGTTTTTGGCAGGTATTCGAGCAGTACTGTACTGCATGACAATGTTGGCACTTCTGCAGTCTTACAACATCATTCTCTTCACATAAACAGTACTGACACCCTTGGGACTCTGGCATGTAGGTTACTACAGGTCCCCCTGCAGCAACCCTCGCCAGTTTCCTTGCTGCTGTCAAGAGGCTCGACATCCACGGGGTAGGTGTCCCAGCTGGCCACATTTGAAACAATGGTTACATGTACCACCTGCTCCAGCCTCTTGGCACATGCTACAACCTCTTGGTCGCATTGCTCTGTCTTGGGCTGGTTGTTTCCAGTTTCCTCGCTTGGTGTCTGGGGTGACATCATTCTGCCACCTCCTCCTGAACTCTGCAACTTTAGCCCTTAACTTGCTTACCATCTTTTCAATCCCATCTCGTGATGGCCTTTCAGTTGCTGATGTCTTGTTGTTTTGGTCCTGACATATCCGTTGTTGGATGGTGGTATTGGTGATGTAACCACCTTAAATGGTCCCTGTGAGTCCTGCTGACAGCCTTCCCTACCCTTCAAATCAGCTTGCAGTTAATTCATCCTAGTCATTTTGGGAGCCAAATTCTGTTTGAGCTTGTTTTGTCTCTCAAGTTCCAAGCTGGCTGCTTTATTGACTTTTTTAATCAGCATCTCAACAGTGACGGTGATGTCATCTAGATGGGGCTTTATTTGGAATTGTATAGGGTCACTGAGCAATCCTGTGCCAATCGATATCAGGAACTTCCTGCGTACCAAATCTAGACTGTACTGGTCATCAGCTCCTTGTTCTTTAGATGCAAATAATAGTCTGTCCTTTAATTCGATAGCTCAGAAAAAAAAGATTAGTGCAGTTGCACTTGGCTCCTGAGAGATGTTCATCAACTTCTGATAGAGATCAGATGTGCTTTCTTCTCTATAGTGTCCCTTCAAAATGTTTTTTTTTTACTTGAAAATAGGCAAATCAGTTTTATTTCTAGCATGTCCCTCAAATTTAGACCAGGACTGATTGGTCTGACTACTGTGACTCTTGTATTTCACCATCCATATCTTCAGATAGTTTTGATGGTGGCAGTGTTTGACCTGTTCCCTTGCTGTCTTTCTCTTTCTGCTGTATTGTTTTAATGAAATACAGCAGGTTTTAAACATATACACAGGCCTCATCATCTTCTTCTTGGTCTCCAACTTCATCGAGTACCATTTCTGCCATACGAATCAAAGCCCGTCTGCTTTTTATCTTTACCAGTCTCATCATCATGGAAACACTTCAAATATCTGTATGTTTTCATGAGCTGGGCTCTTTGCAGCTGATTCAAAGCAGTACTGGCCTTATCCTGCAGCTGTTCCAGTGCCATGATGTGAAGACCGTTCAGATCCTTGCACGACTGTCTTTACATATGCTTCCTGTACAATTGCTTGGTCCGTCTCATTGTAAGAGTTGATCCTCGTCTGTGAACTCTGGGAAACTCTCCTGTCTGGCTCACCAAAATATGTTGCACACTCTAAATGAAGGACGTGGGCAGGTGCTCCAAATCGAGGGCAAACACATTTATTGTAGTCAATCTGTAAAATGTAACAGCACGTGGTGCCACACACAGCAATCCGCAATCGAGTCGCCATTAACCACGTGACTGGTGTACAAGTCTCGTTAATCAATAACAGTTTCTCTTAAACCAAATTCTACTACTGTAAAAAACCATCTTTGTCTTTGACAATAACCCTTGCACTTTACTATTCAAATATTACTTTAATCCTAAGCTGTAGGTCTATCTATACCATCCACTTATATCTGTATCTTACACCCATTATCGGTACTGTATGTGTACCGTATACGTAATGCACTTGTCACCATTGTACAACTTACTACTATAAATGTGTTCTATTCTCAATAGCATTGCAAGTAGTCATACTCTGGGTGCATGGGCGTGGTTGTAGAATAAACAGTATTAGGGTTAGATAATTACAAGTATTAACTACAGTACATCATCATTTACAGTGCACAGTGCTGAAACCCCTCCTATTGAATATATTACAAACTAACATTTCAAAGCCAAGCTTGAAGTCTAGAACAAGTCTAAAACATTTCTATAACGATCAAAAACAACCTTTGGGTCCTTTATCTGTAAAATGCAACAGCACGTGTGTCACACACAGCAATCCTCAACCGAGTCGCCATTAACCACGTGACTGGTGTACAAGTCCGGTTAATCAATAACCCTGCCAGCCACCCACAGGCCCAACTCAGTCATCGCATGCTGGTGTACACACGTGCATTGATGTACTGCACAGCACATACGGACTGTCACAAAACCACACTTTACTCCCTTGCTGCACGAGGAAATAATTAAAAGAGTGGTTCATTCCTCATGTGCCACACTCATATGTGAGTTAAATGTGGCAAGGTAACGTTCTGTCTTAACTTTTGCTTAAACAGCCCCTTCTTGACAGGATGCCCATGGAATGCTGTGAGGCTGTATTGGGATATTCCTCCTCTGCAACATGTCTTCAGCTTCTGTCACCCAGGCATAGTAGGAGGCACTAAGTTTAAGTGCATTAGTCCCTTTTAAGGACTTGCAATGTCCTCAGTTTGGGGTTCAGACCACTTGCCAAACAACAAGTCGTAAAATCCGATGACATTTTCTGCCCAGAAACAAGCCTTTACTCGTCTAAAATAAGATATTACACATATTTTATAATTTTACCTCAACATTTTACACCACATTTCATCACACTGTACACGTGGAGTACTGACGCAAATTTAAATTAAGAATGTTTCCATAATTAATAGTAACGTATTTCATTTGCATATGAGTTGTTATCATTTAGAATATATTTAGAAACAGAAGAACCTTTCAAAACATTAAAATGTATGATGCATAAACTAATTTTAAGTATAAGGAAAAGCAAGTGGATGGCACATTGCCTATATACTATACTGTACACATAAACATGTGGTACAGTAAGATGACACAGATAGGGTATAGAGATGTTATACATGGAGACAGAGTTAACCATCTCAGATTGTGCTGCTTTTTGAACCATTGGGAGGTCATCCATTGTCGTTTGTCGCCACACTGATGGCATTGGTCAAAGCGAAACACTTAAAATTCAACAAGGCTGTGATAGACATGCTGCACATGTGTGGAACTCATGATATGTGCCCTTAAATTACGTTCTCCACATCTTCATAATTAATGTACTGTGAAGGAATACGTTCATGTTCAACAACCTCTAATATGTGTGTGGAAATCCACACACAAAACGAATTCCTCTTCATTTTTAACTTCATGACAAGCTTTGCTGCATCAGTCGTGTTACCTGCCCATCACGTCACACCGCTTATCCTCCTCACTCAACGGTCGAGTGAGTACTTGGTAATCCGAAGGGTTGCGAGTTCTAATCCGAGTTGGGAAATTGACAATGCCCATAAGCCCTCCACCAGGGTCAATTAAACAAGAGTACCACTTTGTTGGGAAATCGACAGTTATTGACTTATTCATAGACTTGCCCCCACTTTAGACATTTAGATATTCCCCACGAGCTCAGGGACTGAGCACCACCTGAATGCCCATTTAAGCAGCACATCCATTGATTGGACACCCTTAATAAAGTTACCTGTCTCCTACTTGCGCAGTTTCTTGATTTGTGTTTTTCATGTTTATAAGTCTAACGATAAGCGTAGATCAAGACAAGATGGTGGCTCTGTTGGTGGTACCGAGATGAATGGTGGAAATTCCAAATTCACATGGCAGGGACAAATGTTGAATCCATAGGACAACCACTTTTAACTTCAAAGTGGTTCTTATTGTGTTGCCTGTCAAGGTATGATGGGCCTAGTCGATATCCAAACAGAAATTGAATAAGACTATCGGTCTTACGATGTACCATAGTAACATCCAAACACATTTTAAGCAGTCCTGAAGTGAAGTGTTTACCTTCATTCTACACATGATTAAGGAAATACTTAACATGCAATTATAGGTTCTGTGCACGAATTTACTCGGTCAGTAAATTAGTGTAAGTAGTATTTTTTCAGAAGAGACACAATTCTTTGCATGATCCAAGCAGGGCATTACCTGGGCGTATGTGTCACCATTCAGGGGGAGTGTCACTGCACGTAGTCCAGGGGGTATGGCAGGAAGGGAAAGAAGCACCAATGCCATCTCAACTTCACCGCTATTAACCGTGTTTTCACGAGCTTCATGGTTTACATCATTATTAGCATGTATACCAAATATACCCCTCTTATCTGCAACGTTATCATTATGCCCGACATTAACATTAGCATATTCGTTTGGGTCTTCATAAATATTGCCGCGAAGAAGCAAGCACGAACGGACAGCGCCGTCGTCATCTGTGTGGAAATCCGCACACACCTCCCGCAACCCTTGCAGCATGAGCACGCAACCACCACTACCATTTTCTTCCGTTTTGGTGCAATCACCGCCAACGGCTCCCTCCGTGTTGTAGGCACCTCCCTCTTCATTGATGGGTTTGTCACTGAACATGCAGCGCGATATGTGAAGTGAATTCACATGCAGTGGGCACTCGCTGGCCAGGGCATGGGACAAACGCACAGCCAGGTCAGGGGAATCTTGCCAAAGCCACAGTGACAGACTTTCCATGGCTGCAGCAGCATCTGTAACGAGTTTGCTTATTTCCACGTGTGTCTCTTGGATGGATGTCTCATTATTAGCAGAGGCTGCGTGAGATTTGCAGACGCAGTTTGTCAGAGCGAAGTGGACATCGCAGTGTGCGGGTGGCAGTGACGCACAGATGCAATGAAAGAACGAAGAGGAAGTGTTTGGTGTTGACGATGCTGAGGATGATGTAATTGGCATTGGGTGTGGGGGTGACCACTGTTCCACAAACAAGATGTGCTTTGCCGTCGTAAAGTGTAGCATTACGTGCACCGTAAGTGCAAGCACAAGAAGCCCACGTGGTGCCATAGCTGTTCACACATACACACGCCCCAAAAATCTGTTAAATTTCACAAGAATATCATCACAAAGGGTCCCAACATTTCCAAAAAAATAATATTGCATTGAAAATGATTACAAACAAGCACAAAAAACACATATATGTTGACATCAACAGCAATAAAAAAAAATTGTGGAAAATGTAATCATTAAACTAATCTTACCAGACAAAAGGTATTGCACCGAGAGATTTTTATATTGTCAACGTAGTTGGATCCAATCGATTTTCTGTAAAAAAAAAAAAATATGGGATTTGGTGAACGAGTTTTTCAATGCAAGCATAAAACATCGATCAGAACCAACCGTTCGCAAAAACAATTGACTAAAAACTGCAAAATTTCGACTCTTGAAACTCGACAGTATACAATAGTTTGCAGTATTAATTAAAACAATACTCATGTATTTAATTAAAAGTCACAATTTCCATTGTTTTCATCTGAGGTATAATATCTTAGTTGTTACGGAATGTTATGTCGTGTCAATCATGTGACTCGCAAAACGGTGCAGCGTCAGCTGTGTGGTGTTACTTTTCGTTTGTTGACGACGTGCGGCATTAATTTACAGAAAATAAGTTGCATACAACAAACAAAGTACCATTGCCTATGTGGAGAAGCCTTGGAATTTTTTATCCAGCAGGAAAATTATCGGAATTTTTAACATCGAACCCGCAAGTATATGTCTTTTTCTGAGTGGTCTTAAAAAAAGATTAAAATGTGTAATTTGCCAAATATCTGATAATTACCAATGTTTTCGAACATTTTTAACGGCAAAAATAAATGTAAATTTTTTTATGGACAAAAGTGAGACTATGCACGGGTAGCAAAATATGATCCGAAGAAGGATCTGGAGGAGAGCTCATTTAGAGAGATGCTCACGACTGAAGGCCAACGACAATCTGACGTTGAAGGAGACATTATTGGTGTGAAGTGGTTGTATGAAAATAGCTCTTGTTGGTTAGATTTAGAAAAATCTATACAGTATTTGTAAATTGTTGTTATTCATTGGTTAACTTTTAATAGTGAACCTATTTTGTGTAAATTGCGATTTTTGGTTATTGTAAATACTTGCATTGCTATTTGTTCAATATATTTATACGTAGGAATTTTAAAGTATATGATTAATATGAGAATAGTTTTTCCATTCTTTTTGGCAACAAAACAGGTGTTAAGATGTTAAAACACCAAACTGAAACCTTTTACAAGGAATCATGTCTATATTAACCACAATGCTTGTGGTTAGAATGCAACCAAAAAATATACTCTAATAATACAGTATATGCATTCAATCTTGATTTGAAGCTTTCGTGACTGCTGTAATCCATCCTCTTTGGTTCTTTCGGTAAAGTCACATAGATAGAAAATTAATAGATCACACAAGCGACCATAAAAAGGTTTCAGTTTGGTGTTTTTAACATCTTAACACCTGTTTTGTTGCCATAAAAAAGGAGAAAAACCTATTATCATATTTTGGTACTGGCAAAGGAGGTCCCATGATGTAGATGCTCACCCCGAGCTCTGATTACTCTGATAACACTGGTCAAAAAAAAAATCTGGCCTGGACTTTTGCAGCTGTTTTAGACTAATTTCAGGGTGCTGATTCTAAATCTGATCTCAGATTTGCTCTATCACATCTCATCTTTATGCTATCGGCATACCCCTTTGTCATTGATTTTACTCGAAATTAACTCTGTCACTTATGATTGCAAGTTGTTGCGAGTCAGTTACTGCTTTAGTGTTAAAATATGGTGCTGTATTTTTAGGATAGTGTGTTTATAATATAATTTTATGTAGATATCCACATTTATTTAATATTTTTCTTATGCAGGGCGTGATCTAACAATGGCTACAACATCCGAAAGAAGGAAATGCAGTAATCAAAGGCGCAACATCAATACTTTTGTCAAGAAGGTTTATCTTGCCTACTTTAAAGTACGACTTGGAGACCAAGACAAAATTGGGCTCCTCACAAAGTGTGTAAAACCTGTGTTGAAACTTTGCGATCATGGTCTAAAGGAAAGAATGCTAAGCTGAAGTTTGGTGTGCCAATGGTTTGGAGATAACCTACAAACCATTTGGATAACTGCTACTTCTGCCTTGTCAATGTAAAAGGTTTCAATAAGAAAAACAAATAACACTTACAATACCCAGATATCCCATCTGCCAGACGACCAGTTGAACACTGTGAGGAAATACCTGTGCCTGTATTTACTGGGCTACCAGAGATTGATGTTGAATCCCTCAATTTACCTGCTTCTACAGATGATGATAATGATGCTCAGATCGAATATACGCCATCTGATGCAGATTGTGATAACATTTTTCTGTTTAGTCAGCCTGAATTGAATGATCTTGTAAGAGATTTGTATTTGCCAAAGCAGTCTGCTGAATTGTTGGCTTCCAGGCTGCAAGAGAAAGGACTACTCAGACCTGGCACTAGTGTCTCCTTTAATCGTAACAGAGAAGCAGCACTGCGAAAGTACTTCTATTCAGATGGTCAACTTGTTTCTTGTAATGATGTTGAAGGGCTTCTTCTCAATATGGGACTGCCCGCATATGATTCAAGTGAATGGAGACTTTTTATTGACAGTAGTAAAAGGAGTTAGAAATGTGTGTTACTTCAAAACAGAAATATATATGATTCAATCCCAATAGGATACTCTGTAAAAATGAATGAAGAGTATGCCAACATCAAGATTGTTCTGGATAGATTGGAATACCATGTTCATGGATGGATAATTTGTGTTGATTTGAAAATGGTTAATTTTCTGCTGGGTCAGCAAGGAGGTCACACCAAATACCCTTGTTTCCTGTGCTACTGGGACAGTAGGGCTACATTAGAACACTGGGTTTAAAAGAACTGGCCACCAAGAATCAGTTTGACGCCTGGTGACAAGAACATCAAGAATGAGCCTCTGGTTGATAGGAATTAAATTGTATTTCCCCCACTGCACATAAAACTTGGGTTAATGAAGCAATTCGTCAAAGCTCTTGATCACACTGGAGACTGCTTCAGCTATATATGTTCAACCTTTTCAAGTCTCAGTGCCGAGAAGAAAAAGGCAGCAATATTTGATGGCCCTCAAATAAGAACACTAATCAGGGATCCACACTTTGTTACATCAATGACTGCGGCAGAGGCTAGAGCTTTGAATGCATTCTCTGATATGGTGCGGAATTTCCTTGGGAACAGGAAAGCGGACAACTATCGAGAGATTGTGGAGGAGCTGCTCTTGAGTTTCCAAGCACTTGGATGTAGAATGAGCATCAAGGTTCACTACTTACATAGTCACGTGGCCCTGTTTCCAGAGAACATGGGTCACGTGAGTGAAGAGCAAGGTGAACGCTTTCATCAAGACATTAAAGTTATGGAAGAACGTTAGCCAGGCCGATGGGACTCAAACATGATGGCAGATTACTGCTGGTCCTTGATGAGAGACATTCCACAAGCTGTACATTGGAGATCGTCAAAGAAGAGGTCGTTTATGCAGATGTAACATCAGTATTGTGAATGACCTTTTTGTACATATTTTTCTTATCTTCACAATTAAATTGTTACATGGTAATATGCATTCACTCACATTGCTATGCAGTCACTCTCACAACTTTGTGCTACGGCTCATTAAATGTTTGTTTTATTATCATTGTATATTGTATCTTATCTTATTCTTGTATGGATGTCTGTTTAGCTATTCGTATATGAGCATAAATTTGCTTTTTTATTAAAAATGCAATATTTGATATCTCAAAAACCTGATGTGATAGGCAAAACTGATGCCAGATTTGGAATCAGCACCCCAAAATTACCTTAAAACAGTTGGAATACCTTATGCCAGAAAAAGTGTGTTGACCAGTGTAATGCTTGTCTTTGTCCTGTACGCCTTTTGGCGTTCTCTGGTCTAACACCATTTTGAGACGAGGCTCAACAGAAAGCTGTCTCTGGTGTGGACCAATCAGTTTCAAAGACAATGCATATATTATCAGAGTATGTATTTTGGTTGCATTTTGACCACAAGCATGGTGGTTAATGCAGACATGATCCCTTATTAAAGGTTTCAGTTTGGTGTTTTAACATCTTAACACCTTACTCTTTGGTTCTTTCGGTAAAATCACGTAGGTAGAAATAAAACAAAATAAATCACGACGTTTCGATAGCAACACAAGCCAGCATCTTCAGGTGAAAATCGCGATAGCCGCGATGTTTGCTGCGAGCAGCACGATGTCTGCTGCTTTGTGAAGAGAAGCTGATACCAGCAAAAGTTTATACAGTATACGTTTTTGTGAACAAAGGTAGCCGAAGTAGTTATCGGTCTGTGTTTATATACTGTATCTGGATGACTTCATGAACAAATCTCTGATGATAGCCAGTGGGTTTGCAGAGTACCTTCATCTTGGAAAAATCAATTTCGTGTGTGCCCATAGCGTTAAAACAATGATCACCAATGGCAGACGTATTAGTCCTACCGTGCTTCAGATCTGCCTTATTGTTTGCAAACACGGTCCGAGACATTTCGTTTCGTTTCCCGAATGTAACTGCTGCCGCAGCCACAACTTAGTTTGTAGATACCAGGATATTGCATGTCAGGAATCACATCCTTTACAGATGGGATCAAATCACAAATTTTGCATACTGTGTGGAAACGAGACTGGATCTTGTGATTGTTTAAGATTTTGGAAATCTTTTTGGTAACACGTGCTATGTATGGCAAGGTGATGGATTTTGATTGGGTCCTCAGATGGTTGTCTCCCCATGGCTGGGGAGACAGCTTTGCTGATTGTACGTTCAGAATATCCATTCATCCTGAGGGCTTGGTGTAAGTGCTCTAGCTCACTGGCTAGGTGGTGGTGGTTGGAGATGCAATCGGCCCTATGGTGGAGTGTTTTGATGGGGGAATTCTTCTGGGCTGGATGGTGGTGGGAGTCTAGCTTTAGATAGGCATCCGTGTGGGTGGCTTTCCTGTAGACAAAATGTTCCAACGAGCCATCAGGTCTCTTCTCGATCAAAACATCCAGGAATGGTAACTTGCCATCCTTTTCCACTTCCATGGTGAATTTTACGGCTGGGTGTATGGAATTTATGTTGTTGAAGAATTGGTTTAGTGATGGCTGGCCATGTGGCCAGATGACGAACGTGTCATCTACGTATCTCTTCCACAAGGAAGGACGTAGAGTAGATGTTTGGATGACATCTGTCTCAAATTTCTCCGTGAAAATATTCGCTACCACTGGCGATAAGGGAGAACCCATTGGGGTACCCTCTTCTTGTTTGTAGAATGTACCAGTCCAGGTGAAGTGTGTATTGGTAAGGCAGTGCCTTACCAAAGTTGGCACATCAGAATTGAGTCCCTGTTGGACCAAGTCCTCAATGATTGCAATGGTGTCAGGCACAGGTATCTTGGTGAACAGAGTGACTACATCGGAACTGACAAGCAAATCATCTGGAGACAGTTAGATGTCTTTTATTAGAGAAACCAAGTGAGCTGAGTTAAGTACAGCTGAGGTGGTCTTGCCAGTGAATGGAAGCAGGGTCTCAGACAAAAATCGTGCCAGTTTGTAGGTGGGTGAGTTAATGGTGGAGACGATGGGATGGAGTGGTGTACCTTCTTTGTAAATTTTTAGGAGGCCATAAAATCTGGGTGGGCTAGCAGCAGAAGGTTTTAGAGAGAGCAGCTTGGTTGGTTCGATTAGAGAAGTCGAGTTATTGATGACATTGTTGGTTTTCGTAACCAAGCAGTTGGTAGGATCTCTATTGATTTTGGTATAGCTACCATCCATAACAAGGTCCTGAATTTTGTTGTTGTATGTGGTTTTATCCATGATGACAGTGGCATTGCTCTCGTCGGCTGAGAGGATGACAATATCATTTCTCTTTTTTTATTGAGCGAGTTCAAAACGCATAGTGTGCTGATCTTTAAAGGTGTATTGAAACATTTGGATACTGCGACTGATACTCCTACTGTTATGGAGGGACTCATGCAGCCAGCTATGGCTGCAAAGTTTGGTCTTAAATGTTATGTATATCATTTATTGTTAAATTTGAATCACAGTTCCTATGATCACTGTTACATTGTTTTTATAGCTATATTTTGGTGATTTTGAAAACGTTTTGGTTTAGCCATTTTCGTTTGTTGTAGTACAGAGTTAGCCTGATAACTTTAATCTAAATTGACTTATGGTTGTTATTGTTTGACTTGCATCCCATTGGGATTTTTGCACACAGCGTTTATATACGGTGTTTTTTCTGGAAGACTTTGCTGTTTTTTTCATGGATTTTTCTGTTGCGTGTAGTCACTTTGAGATGTTTCTTATTCATGTTTTTGTTTGTTGCGGTTGCACACAAGTCAAGAACCGCATGGCTCACAGGGTTATACCTAATAAATGAAATGAAACTGAAATGCCAGTGGGAACAGTAGCCAGCTTATTGTGACTGCAGTGCGTTGCACTCAGCCATTGCTTTGCTGGCAGGGATGGTAACACACTTGCTCAAGCTGATGACCGGGTTTGGACTCTTATTTGTACTCATTCAAGTACGAAGGGGAAAATGTGAACGTGGTGTTTTCTGACATTTCAGTTTTAAGTAAACGCAATCGCAAATGTAGCAGTGTTATTGTTATTGTGCAATCACATATTTACACAAAATATACGATTTCACTTATTGAGGACTTTTGTCCTGTTATTTACTTGTTTTGCTCATTTAGGTTTTTGGTTTTATTTCTGTTACAGTTAAGTGAATTATTTTCCAATTAAATTGTTTCCAATAAAGCCGAAACTGATTAATTGAGCAGTTGAATAATGTGTTTTTCCTGGGCAAGGCTACTTATTTATGGGCTCTAAAACTAGTGGTGCCAACTGTCTGGTTTTGTCCTTGCTTTACAGTCTCAGGCCAATTACACCCAGCAGAGGATCTTACCTTTGCTCTAGGACAAATTTTCAGCGACTCCTATAAACCATGGGCCGTATTACATGCCACTACTATTATGTGTGAACCATAGCGACTCCGTTTATCAATGGGCACTGTGACCCACGACTCATTATGTGTGCACCATAAGGGGGAACATTAAACATTGTCAGGTCAATTATACATAGGACAGGGCATTACAATTGCTATCGGACAAATTAGTCATGACTCCTATTAACCATGGACCCTACTATGCGCAACTACTACATAAGTTTTGAAAGAAGTTCAGCATACATACATCTGTCGACCATAGCTATTACCCACGACTCAGCATTTTCCATTACCAATGACTCCTGTTATTTGGGGGAAACTGTAGGGTTTACACAAGCTCCTATGATCCGTGGCCCTCAGCTTCCAATTATCTGTATCTGCCTTTATTCTCATCCTGCTTTGCATATTGGCTTCTTCCTGAAAATATGTGAAGTTTTTGTGTGAAAATAATGACTTAACAATAATAATCTGTAATATTTCCGAAGAGTATTCTGGTGGATGTGGCTGGTTTTTCAGAGAACTGACTTGTAACTTTACAGTGGTTGAGTGCACTTTAGCAAAACCACGCAGGAGATCTTACACATGGCCGGACAATGGAGAGAGATGTCGGCGAGCAGCGACGCAGCCTGGGCCCAAGACCCCACACACGAGCCCCGAGCCCCGGGTCCACTCCCCCTTATATACCCCCAGGCATGGCTAGGCCCCGCCTCCGGCAACGCCATCTCGTGGAACCCTTGAGCGGGTTCCCGGAGTTCTCGTCTAGCCCCACCTGTTACATTTGCCCCAGATAAACATCCTTCTCTGATTGGTACTTAACCATGCTCGTACCCGTGATTCCCTTTCCGGCCAGCAGGTGCCACCCTGTCATTACATCTGAACCATATATTCTTTGGATTTTTCGGTAAAGTCACGTAGATAGGTTTAAAGAAAATAACAACATATCTACGTGACTTTACTGAAATACCCAAGGAATATTAATTCCTGCAGTCACGAAAGCTTTAAGTGAAGATTTATGTACTATATGTTTAACTTATTTCACACCGTACGTAGCCAACCATGCTAATTGGAGGTGTGATCCACCAACCCTTGCCATCGCAGTGCTAGATTACAGGGTAATTATGTCAGGCTGTCGCTTTCTAAACGCACAATATGAGAAATGTACGTTGATACGTACTTCCAACTTGTAAACATGTCTTCTTGCTGAAACTAGCGTGGAGTGGTGCCAATTTTCATTGGAGTCAGGAATGTAAAGTCTGCATTATAACTAACTATTAACTAATGTTATTTACCAGGTTAAGACCTACTGAGCTGTATAGCTATTTTTCAGAAGCTCAAATAAGTGTTTTATCCCGTGGAAATTTATCGCGACCAAATACTCTTCACGGATATTTCTAAATGTGGAGAGAAAAAATTGGAGGTCCCGGACAAAAATCCACATGACCACTGGGAGAGAGACATGTAAAGTCCAAATATACAGCAGACGTAAGGGTTGGGATCAAACCCACGACCCCTGTACACTAGGCAAGGTAATTAACATTTCACCACAATGGCGAGACCCTACTGCGTAGCTGAGATTGAGGTGTTTGGCAGTTAACTTAAGCAGAAAGTGGCTACTGGGAGAGCTTTCATCTTTTCACAATTTGAATGTTCCGCAGCAAGGCCGTTTGAGGGACAAGGCGTCTTTTGCAAGCTGCAATGAGCCGGAGGGGACCGGTCTATCATAAAGAACATCGCCGTTGGCTCCAAACACATATAAATTTTTGACCTCAGGTGGATGATAGTCCGAGTTGAACCCCCATTGTGACAATAACTTGCAACATTCTAAGTGCTTGTTTAGGTGCTCAGACACAACACCGCGTTAGCTGCATACAACATCCGCCATTCGCGACTTAGTGGCAGTGACGTCACCATATCGCTTATGACAGGCTAGGTGTACTTTGGAAGCCACGTGAAGTGTAATAAACTCGCCGACAGGCTCATATTTACTTACAGCACATCTCTGTATGAGCTATGTCGTTTCATCACCTTCCATTTAGCTACGTCCATAATATCACGCAAGGACTTTACATTACATACTGCCAGTTGCATCCAATTATTAACTTTGCTTATGCACTTAATTCACTCTCTTCCCCCGCTTGTTGTACCTATACCGTTTCGAATAAAACGTTATATTCAAAATCTTATTTTCTCATTACATGTTCAAGACATCTAAACTAGCCTTTCTAGAATGTCTTATTAATTGTCTTGCTGTTGCACCCTGCTATCTATAATACATTCATGTTACTCATCGTATTTGTCCATGAAGTTGTATACATACATAAAATAAAAACAACTTTTCTATTGCTGCTAGTTTGCTTTGTATTGTCATTGTAATAGTCCATATATATGAGAACATACCACATGTGACACTGCAGTATTTTAATTATTGTTTTCATTATTAATTTCTGTTTAAATCTAGATCCTATTGTCTGAAGTATATATTTTGCCAGTGCTCGTCTTTAGTTATCACGCCACCTAAACAGTTGAAATGCTCCACCCGTTCAATGTTGGTGCCACTGACTTGTACTTGACATGAGTGTGATGTTTTTCTCTGATACGACCTTTCATATTGTTTTCCTTTCACAGTTCATTGTTAATCGTTTCTTTCGACTTTCTATAATTTTACCCATATTTTGCAAATATATGTAAAGATTCTGCACCTCTGGTTGTACGGATGGCTACATACAGTGCATACATTAATATAATTCAGGTATCATCAGGCATATCTCGGGTGATTTATATTCTGAGCACCAACCTCTCCTGAATATCGCTGCTCTATCTCTCAGAATCATTTCACGATGTAGAGAAAACGAGTCAGCTGATGATGCACATCCTTGTCTAAAGCCTCTCTTTACGGACACAACACCTAACCTCTCCATCAACTCTAATGGCTGCTGTTTCTCTCCCAAAATAAACGAATTATTACTCTAAGGTGTATTCCATATCGATGGACATTCCCGAGCGCAATCATTTCTTCTTCACGCCTCTCTTTATTGTCATCTTTCGTGCAGTCAATAAAATGTAAAATATTAACATATTTCTGAACCACTACTGCCCGTTCGCTCAACATTTATATTGTAAGACATTTTTACTTACGGCATACGATTATAAATGTGCAATTACAAGAAATCAAACTCGTACACATAAACGTATGCTATCGATAGAACCTGCAACGATGTGCGTGTTTAGGCACGAATGTGGATGCTGTTTACCTTTACAAAGGAGTTGACTGCAAACGCAGTTCTTTAAATTTATTGATGACACGAACAGAGATCTCAGTTAGGTTATTGCGGAAAATTGTATTAACACGTGCAGTGTCGAGTTATCACTCAAACATCGGCTGTCGCTGTACTTTGGAATGCCTTAAAATCACATACCAGTTGCCTTTATATAAGGGAAGTGTTGTTGGTGTTGAGACTTCAAAATAACGCCTAGTCATACGGCCAGTTGCCTTGGCGTTCCAAAGTAAAAACACAGTATGCCACTTAATGCTGCAGTGCCTTCAAGAGTATATGTGCAGGTGTTCTGGCGAGGTTGTTAACATCTCGCTACCGTGGCGCCGTAGTCACACATTTATCCACTTTATTGTGGTGAAATGTATGAATACAAGCCATGCAAAGTATTTACTTAAAATCTGCGTTCCCTGTTCTTTAAAATGATTTAAAATCGTATACAAGTCACCGCAATGTGAAGAAAGTGTCGTTTAAGTTGAGACTTAAAAGTAAGTCATACAGCCAGTTGCCTTAGCGTTCGAAGTAAAACCACACAACAGCATGCCACTTAACGCTGCAGTGCCTTCAAGTGTATCTGTGCGGGTGCATGTTTGAGTGCCACTGTGAGGACACTGCGCACCGACTCCACAGAAGCTCATGGCTGGCTGAGCTGCGCTCCTCAACCCTGTAGCACTGAGCACTCAAAGCCCCTGGTCGACACAAGCGCGATCTTGCCAGCTGGTTGTACTGTAGCTCTAGTTTCTCGGTGCTTGCAGGAATCCCAGTGGGAACAGTGGCCAGCTTCTTGTGACTGCAGTGTTACACAGTCACTGCACGCAGGCATGGTGAAACACTTGCTCAAGCTGATTACATGGTTTAGCATCTTTTTCAATATTCATCGGGTGGCATGTTAGCGCAATGGTAGAACTCGTTATCCTAGCAGAAAAAATGGCCTGGCGTTCGTTTTCTAACGTGGGCACCTTTCTTTGTTACGTGTATAATCTCCCCTTGTTCATCAGCCCTTAACCAGTTCACGATATGGAACAATAATAAAAGTCAAAGATCGAATTGTTCAACACGTGAAGGGATCTGTGCCTATGAAGTCGACAATAATTGCAAAGCAAAGTGAGTGGTGCGATCAGCGAAATGGGGGAAAAAACTGTTGCTTATACGGTGTCAGGGCCAGAATGAGCATAATGCTGATAAAAAAAAAGCATGGGTGCTTTCACAGATTTAAAGCGAGGGCAAATTTGATAACATTAAATTAAGTGGGGAAGCCGCTAGTGCTGATGTGGAAGCAGCAGCTCGTGAATACCCTGACCGTTGGGCTGATACGATTCGCAATGAGGGGAGGGGGGGGGGTCAGTAGGTGTTCAACGTGGATTAGACGGGGGTTTTTTGGAAGAAGATTCCTGCTCGTACTTACATCGCACAAGAGGATACGTCTTATGCCAGAGTTTAAAGCAGCAAAAGACAGGTTAATCATATTGCTTGGCAGAGGTGTGGACTCGAGTCATGTGACTTGGACTCGAGTCAGACTCGAGTCATGAATTTGATGACTTCAGACTCGACTTGGACTTGCATAACAATGACTTTGTCCCACCTCTGAGGTGTGGACTCGAGTCATGTGACTTGGACTCGAGTCAGACTCGAGTCATGAATTTGATGACTTCAGACTCGACTTGGACTTGCATAACAATGACTTTGTCCCACCTCTGTTGCTTGGTGATAATTCAGCTGGCAGCTGCAAACTAAAGCCTCTTTTGGTCGAGAACCCTAGGGCCCCCTAGAGGGCATCTCCAAGGCATCATTTACTCTCATCTGGAAGTCGAATGCCACGCCGTGGGTGACTGAGAACATTTTCGAGGACTGGTTTTGGCATAATTTAGTGAACGAACTGGATAGGTTACTGTTCATCCAATTAGCTGGCCTTTAAGATATTGCTCACGTTGGGCGAAGGCGGCAACGGCTAAGGTGGCGAAGATGACAGCGACAACGAGATGAGTCCACTCCCAGAACCAGCAGCCCAGAGCTCTTGCTCTCGACTGCTTTTATTCCACTCGGTGTGGCCTGGCTCTGCTCTGGCCGCGCCTCCCTTCCCGAACCCACTAGCGGGTTCCAGGGGCCTCCCAATGAGGTCTTCCGTGACCCTTTCCCCAGTTCCTCCGCCCTGCCGGCACACTCATGTATATTCTCGACGCCATGTGCGCTAACTGTCCGCTGCAGTTGCCGCTGCTGGACAGCAGTAGGCGCTGTGTCACTACACCAGTATGAAGGTTGTCTTCCTGCCACCCAACGCAACATTCATCCTGCAACATACAGATTAGGGGATTATTGCCTCATTTTAAGCCTACCACATACGTAGGACATTTGGAGAGGCAAATAGACAAAACAGAAGGTGATGCCAAACTTTAAGGAGTTTTTGAAGGGTTTAAATATTGACCAAAAGGCATCAAGAACATTTCAGAGTCATGGGAAGAGGTGAAGCCAATTATTTAAGGGGGTGTGAGGACACTGTGGACACAGTGACAGACAAAGTGATTGAATTGGGAAAGCAACTTGAGCTGGAGATTCAAGATGATGATGATGCTAAGCAGTTGCTCGGCTCCCATTAGCAAGAGCTAATCAATGTGCATATCGTGGAACTGGAGGCACAGACGTATGCAGACGAAGCCGAAGTCGCTGACATTCCGGAGCCCAAGAGGTTCACAATCAAACAATTGGCGGAAGCTTTCCGGCATTTTGAAGCTGGCTTGGCTGTTCTTGAGGCACAAGACTACGACGCGTCTCGATTTGCCAATGTCGTGAGAGTTAACAACGATGGGCTGAGTTGCTACAAAGAGATTTATGAAGAGCAAAAAAAGAAGAAGATGGCATCTATTCCAGTTCCCCTTGGTGGGCTTTTCAGGAAGATTGAAAGGGAGCTAGAGCCGACCTCATCAACATCGTCATCAATAACTCTGGAAGAGTCTCCTGAAAAGTCCACTTCACCATCCTGGCCTACATCACTATCTTCTTCCAAGTAATCATCCATCTCTCCTCTTAGACAAGCAAGCCAGTATCAGGACTAAAGGTAAGGATTTTTTTTTCATGTTGATGTATTTATGTTTATTTACTATAAAATATGTATTATGTGCAGGTATGCAATATGTATTCGTATTTATGAGTTTAACAATGCTTCCGTTTTTTGTTGAACCATAACAGATTTTACAACACTTATTGTTTGTATAATTAAACAAAGTAATTGTATGAGTTCCGAGATACGAACAAATAGACTTATGAACGGGTCTCCAGAACGAAACCCTTTCAAGTCGGGCCCGTAATTAAATACCATTGCAAAGTTAGCTGTAGTATATTATTACTACTTTTGTGTGGAAATTCATGAGAACATATAATTGCAGTTATTTCTTTGCTTTGCTCATTTTGCTATTTGGATTTTACTGATTGCTGTTCTACAGTTGAGTGAATTTATTTGCCAAGTAAGTAACAACCGGCAAAGGCAAAAAAGTTATGATTTGAATATATGTATATTTGTTATTCAACACATTATTCACTAGTGTTTGGTATTTAATCTGGCAACACATTTTTTTCTCTCGAATCTTTGGGGCTTTTTAAGTATTGCTAATTTTTTTGCAAGCCACAATGAGTGGTAAGATTCTTTTTCAGGAGGTTCCTGCTAAATTGTGATTTTTGTTTAAGATGCATAGAGCTAATGAATGGTTGTCAATACGAGTGGGGCTGGTCACCCTTGGTGCCCTTATAAAACTCAACGTTTAACCTACTCACGCCGGCTTGTGCCCGCCCTCACAGTCGGCCATATTTGCGGAATACACCACGCCGCCGTTGACCCTGGCCATTGACCGAGCAACCCAACGTTCCTACCAGCTCCCTCCGCAGGAATGTGTTGGAAGACACTGTTTGGTTCTTTCTCTCCCCCGGCCACCGCGGGGTGGATTTCAACACAGCTCTTTCATTGACATGCTCATTTCTCTGATCCAGCAGACACACCTCTCTCTCTGCCCAACCCCCCCCCCTCTTTATTTAAGGCCTCGGCACAGAGGCGTTGGGTCTCTGTGTGTCTATGTTGTGTGTCTTTTTCTGTGTGTCTCTGTGTTGCCTCTCTCTGCTTGTGTGTCTGTATGTGTCTCCGTGGCTGTGTTTTGTCTCTCTCTCAAATTTAGCAATCTTTAGAAGAACGTAATCAACCAGGTAGGGTGTTGACTGTTATGTTAGCCGACTCTCTGTTTTATTGCATTATATTTCTAAGTTTACTAGGATTGTTTGCTCTTTCATTTGTACCTGATGATGATTGCTTGTGTTGCAATCGAAACGTCGTATGCTATTAAAAAAAAATTCTACGTGACTTTGCCGAAAGAACCAAAGAGTAATTCCTGCAGTCACGAAAGCGCCAAATCAAGTTTGAACCACCTCCACGGGGAGGTTTGTTGTATATGTTGGTTATCAAAATTTGTTATGTTGTATGCGTGCGTGGGTGAAATTATTATGTTGTATATGTGGGTTATGAATATTCAGTGAAAATAATAATAATTAAATGAAATTTGGCCAAATGTGTAATTATCCGGAAATATGTTAATTTATGTAATTATGCACATTTTAATTATGCCAATTCGAGAGGTAATCGTATTAATTATGCGAGTGGGTGTAATTATGATAATGCAAGTCGTTATGATAACCAGACCCCGCCTCGGTGACGAGGGTGGGTTATCGATCGGAATAAGGCAATTAATCGTATGCAGTTATGCAGGTGTGGTGTAAGTATGCAAGATTAACTTAGATTAACTCGGCATCGTTGTCTAGGTTCGTCTCATTCTCGCTTTAACATTCCCAGAGTGTGTATTCGTGGTTATATTTTAGGTCCCCGGTTCACCCCGTTATCGCTTTAACATTTACTGAGTATGTATTAGTGTGTTTATTAAGGTCACCAAGTTCAGATCTCAACGCAGAAGCAGATCTTATGCATAGTTCAGGAAAGAATCACACAACCACTTCTGTATTGATCAATTTATAACTAATTCAACCTTAACTATGATATAGTATGCGAACTCTCAATCCCGGAACGTCAACACGGCATCAATACAGTATCATCAACGATTGTCTGATTTCACTTTGACAACGGC